ATGAGGTCAACAAGTAACTGGAAATTGTCAAACAAGCATTAATAAGTCCGAGCACACTTTGGTATAATATTCGAACATCAACGTTATGGTTTTATTAGGTGAATAACACCGGCAACATAACTGGATGGGCCGGCACCGCCATAATTAAATATGAGCGGGCTAAGTTGTACGCGTATACATTATGACGTCAGATACGTCAATGCGTTCATAGTAGATCATGCATTATAAGACATATTACTACAGAAATAGATTACAGATTTTTAAAAGTCTGTTTAATTTTTTTTTCACAGAATGAGCGTGATGTTACTTATGATACCATTTAATACAGGGCTGTCAACCCTCCTGCATTTGGAGGGAGTCTCACGTACGCCACTACGCTCATTCTCCCGCCGTCCCACAAGCTCGTAGCTCGTAGCTCAAACCCCCGCCACCACGCCCTTCCTCCCGCTCTCCCGCAATCTCCTGCACTCTCCCGGTTTATGAAAAAACCTCCCGCCAAACGTGTAAAATAAACCAGCATACCGTATCGTTTGCAATTATTGTGCTCAACGGGGCTTGGGAATGGGGGGGGGGGGGGGGGGGGTAGTGAGCAATTTTTGTTTTCAACGCCCTCTCCCCCCTCCCCGTTGGGCAAAAAAACATTGTAAATATAACGGCGGACCATGCAAGGAAATGTGCCTGCAAATATTAAAGGTAATACAAAGTTTTGGTAAATTTTGAAAATTGGGTGGATAGTGATTCTTTACAATTTTAATATATTTGGATGCCCCTGTGGATGTATTATAAGCACTAGAAAATTTAGCCCCTAAAATACTTCTTCTTTCGAGAAAAATTGAATATAAAAATTTACCGGTGCTCCCGTTAAATTTTGATTAATTTCAAATTGCGCCTACGGCCGTACGTACATAACTGCGACCATGAAAATCTCTGAATATGTAGTTGTAATATATAGTTTTTAAACGGGAATAGCTAGTCGGTCGATTTTAGTCAAGAAAAAAAGTTTTATAGCTTAATTAATATCTTGACCTTGAGAGGGGGCTCTACAGCATAAAGAGTTTATTATCTATAATTTCATAACTTTAGACTCGATTTCGACCGCGACAACGATCACTGAATATTGTAGGATCGCATTTGCTTCCAATATGTTCATTTGAACCAAATTCATGACCCTAGCTATACCAACAACTTTGTATTACCTTTAAGGCGCTTGATTGGAGATTCGAAGGTCGAGGGTTCGAATCCCGACACGGCACTAATATCCTTTGGCATGATATTAACCTATATTTGCTACTCTCCACCCAGGTATTAAAATGAGTACCCGGTAGGATGCGACCGTCATTGTTGGTCAAACAGTTTTTGAGCGTCATGTAACGCCTGGCTGGAATGCTCCGTAGGGAGTGGAGATTGTGCACACAGTATTGTGCGGGCAAGCACTGAATCCAACGACCGGGGTAATAGTATTTCTGTAAAGCGCTTAGAGACATTTGTATTAAGCGCTATATTAGCGGAATTTTATTATTATTATTAAAACAAAGAATTACATCAGAATAGAGGGAAGAAACGAAGAATAACATAAGGACAGACAGAAAGAGAAAACGATGAAAAATAGACAATGGAAAGATAGAAGAGAAGATGAAAGATGGAAAAACGAAGAAAGACATAAGAAAAACAGAGAGAGAGGAAATGATAGCAAGTAAACAAAGAATAACATGACGAAAGATTAAAAAAATGATAGGATTATAACGAAGAATAACATAAGAAGTGAAAGAAGGCGAAATTGAATAAACGCACGCGGGGGCCAATCACGTCATAGTGTAAAGAACAGGCGTCGACTGCAAACGAAAAGGGTTATAAAGTAGTGAACAGCCAAAACTGACTGCAGCCAATTCGCATAGTTTGATGAAGGGAACGGCATCCTCGTCCACACAAACGAAAAGCCCATGATGTGCGACGTACTGCTACGGCTGCGCATATAGCTGTGTAATAATAATTACAGTGCTTATATAGCGCCTAACACTTACTATGTCAGAAGTCTCTAAGCGCTCTCAATAATGCAGCATAATTACCCTGGCTTTAGCAGTGCAGCTGTTACGCGCGCTGCGTTTCAAGGAATAAATTCCTACCAGGTGTACGACGTCACACTTTTTCTTTAAAGCTTATCAGTACTAGTTTACAGGAGGGATTAGAGCACCCTGCAAGGTCACTGGACAGGTGGTTATCTCATCAACTCAGCTCTCAAATAACATAAGAAAAAGAGGATCATGGGGGACCAATGGTCACCGATTAGGCATTGTTTTCTATATAGAGGGAGCAAGTAGCTACAAGTAGTACAGTGGGCCTTTAAGACCACCACAAGAAGCCTGTGCGACGCTCGCAAAATGCCCGTCCGATGTTTGCATGGAGTACTAGGGACTTTTAGATTGAGTAGACGAGAACACGACGAACGCCGACTGATCATGCGTGTCAACGTACTCAACTGCCCATGTTGACTACAATTATACCCCATTCACAGTGGCCTCAAACACCGCGACAGCAGCGGGACTGTCCCGCTGCTGTCGCGGTGTTGTCTTCAGTGTGAAGGCTCGGACCCGTTATAAACTATCGCGGGATAACACCGCCTCGCGATAACGCCGCGACAAACTATCGCTAGGTTCGCCTAGCTACAGCAGCGGGACAGTCCCGCTGCTGTCGCGGTGTTTACTCATACCCCATTCACAGTGGCCTCAAACACCGCGACAGCAGCGGGACTGTCCCGCTGCTGTCGCGGTGTTGTCTTCAGTGTGAAGGCTCGGACCCGTTATAAACTATCGCGGGATAACACCGCCTCGCGATAACGCCGCGACAAACTATCGCTAGGTTCGCCTAGCTACAGCAGCGGGACACTCCCGCTGCTGTCGCGGTGTTTACTCAGTGTGAAGGCTCTCCGCTATAACACCGCGACAAACACGTGTGATTTGTTTACTTACCTATCACTGACCTCTTTTCTCCAGCAATGGGGAACATAAAGTGAAATAGAAATAAAGTAACCAGTGGATTCAAATTGATTTTATTATTATGTAGATATTATAATTATCCAAATAAAAATATTTCACACTTCAAAAAATTAAAATATTCTGACTGGAAGCAATAAAAATGCTAGTTTTTAAAAAAGTAATATGATAAAACCCCGCGCTGAAGTATTTCCGGTCATATCGGGGTCACTCGCGGGTCATGAGCCATGCATACACGTGTTTGTTACGGAGGTAATAAAAATCACCCGCTGCAGCGTGAATGGGTACATGATATTTATCCCGCTGCTGCAGCGGGATAACTTTTCTACTGTGAATGCATTTGTAGCGGTGTTATGGCGGTGTCGCCGCTCCGCTACAACGCCGCTACAAATTTCAAAACCACTGTGAATGGGGTATCAGTGTGAAGGCTCTCCGCTATAACACCGCGACAAACACGTGTGATTTGTTTTCTTACCTATCACTGACCTCTTTTCTCCAGCAATGGGGAACATAAAGTGAAATAGAAATAAAGTAACCAGTGGATTCAAATTGATTTTATTATTATGTAGATATTATAATTATCCAAATAAAAATATTTCACACTTCAAAAAATTAAAATATTCTGACTGGAAGCAATAAAAATGCTAGTTTTTTAAAAAGTAATATGATCGATAAAAGTATAGATAGATCCATAGCTAAATCGAGCTAGCTACATGAGGAAGAGTGTGTAAAGTACAGCTAGCGCGCGCAATTTCAAGCAATCGAAAACCCCGCGCTGAAGTATTTCCGGTCATATCGGGGTCACTCGCGGGTCATGAGCCATGCATACACGTGTTTGTTACGGAGGTAATAAAAATCACCCGCTGCAGCGTGAATGGGTACATGATATTTATCCCGCTGCTGCAGCGGGATAACTTTTCTACTGTGAATGCATTTGTAGCGGTGTTATGGCGGTGTCGCCGCTCCGCTACAACGCCGCTACAAATTTCAAAACCACTGTGAATGGGGTATAAGAAATCTTTTAGATTGCACTCGACGATATAAATGCATGCAGAAAGTAACACTATGAACATGACAGACAAAGAAAGAGGACAAAATATACAGTTCCTCATTCTACTCTCAACAATAGGCCATTTTCGTAATGTAACCAAATTTAATGCATATAGGTCTTTGTGAAGTGCCTCGATACAAATTATTTCATTCACCTGATAGAAATAATAGTATTTCAATAGTCAGAATGCAACTGCATATATTAAGTGTTGCTAGGTAGGTCAAGTCATAATGTTTGTCCAACCTGGCAACAAATAATGTATGCAGTTAGGATTCTGTTATAATATTATTCTTATCAGGTGAATGAAAGGTTTGTTTTGAGGCACTTCACAAAGACCTTTGCATTAAATTTGGTTACATTACGAAAATGGCCTATTGCTGTGGTAGAACATCCCTTCACTGCTATTATGTAAACATGTGTAGAACAGGTGAATATGCATGTGACACCTGTTCTACACATTTTTACATAATAGCAGGGAAGGGATATTCCTTTGTCTACCTGAGGAACTGTATATTTTATGCGCACGCGGCATACCGTACTAGATTTAGGAAAATCAAGGTTGACGCATTTTCGATCGCCGACTAAGACGACGTGACGCATGCGCAGTGCCTTAAAATGACGTCACACGTTGCAGTCAACGCTGTCAACGTGCAAATCTAAAAGTCCCCACTATCGCTCCACACGCCACGTGCATTAAGAACAACAAAAAACACGCAGGGATTTTCTGCGAAATGGACCAGACGCGGATATAGCTGTACTTTCCGTTGTGGTCATGTCTTTACTGACAACGATTCTGATTATTTTGCTCGCCCATGAAAGAGAAAATGTATACCCCGTTTCCCATTTGTATCGAAAGAATCAACGGCAACAATTTTTCTTTGTGTTGCATGCACAGACACACACACACGCACGCACACACACACACATACACACAGCACGCGCACAACGTGGGCACATGATACATACCCATTCTCCAGATGCTCCTATGTAACTCTGTCTTTGTCTGACATAATGCATTGAAAATATTCAGCTTCTGCCATAGCTCCAGGACATTTTGGATAGCTACTCTGGACTCACATCCCGCACAAGAAACATCTACGACAACCATAAACCCATAAAAAACTACCCCCCCCAATTGAAGCTTTTGTTACTGCCCCTCTACAAAGGGCCGTTTTCCCGGTGGTAGTTGTCTGGAGGGGATTGCGGAATATAAAGAGTTGTGCAAATTTACACTCAATGCATTCAATTGACTTTCAAAGATGAAATATATTTTGTAATTTAAAATGAATACGTATTCCATACATGGCATGTTAAGATAAATCTGTACAAAGATTTGACACAATTTTCTTATACACAGTCATGTTGCCCGTCTCATGAACTAACTCTGCATTAATCTTTTCTCTTTCTTGAATAACACAGTATCCTGATGTCACCATGCCTGTGTCTCTTGGTGAATGGCGTGTCAGGATCGGCACGTTCATGCGACGTCGGAGGAAAGAATACGACTACCACTATTTTTGGAGGAAACTTCACAACTTAATGAAAAAAGCCAAGAATGCTGAGCCACCCGAAGAAAACAACAATTCTGAGTGTAACATTTCATCTCGCACTGGCTCTTCGCCCGATGCGAATAGATCTCCAAGCAACACGGCTCGTCAGTCTGCATCTTCTGCTCAAACAGGGCATTTACGTGACGTCAACAATGGCGGAGGTAACGCAAGCTCACCGACTCTCTCACAATCTGACGTTACAGAGTGTGATACTGTCAAGGAGAGTGGATTCCCATGCGGTATAAATTACCCCGGTCATAGCAATGTCTCTCACTCTGAGTCTTCGTGTGCTCAAAGCAGTGGTTCTTCAATTGAAAAAGAGACCAACCTAGCTGGCCCTGATACCACTGATGTGACAATTCCAGTTCCCCGACCCTGTGTAGAAGACGAATTGGACAACAATGACATAGCCATTAATGTCATGTCACATGAATACATCCCGAAATCCGCCCAAATAAGTAAAACAGACAAACCTGAAGTTGGCACATCAGAGTCGAACTCACTTGTACCTGCAGACGTTCATGGTGAGACAGATCGTATCAATCGAGACAAGGAGGAAACTATAGACTCCGCACCGTTAGGGATAGAGGATCAATCATCGGACATATCACCTAAACATAGACTAGATACAACGATGAATACCGACCAAAGAACATCACCTATAAGGGTATGATTGATAAGCATTTTCCAGAACCACACCACTCACATGAAAACAACAAAGAAAGAAAAAAAAACTGTGAGAAAAAACATGGGAACAATAAATCAAAATAAAAACTCCCCCAATACTGAATAAAACAATTGTTTTTTTAAACAGGGTTTTAAACAGGACAAGACATTAAACATGTAACTAGCAAAATTTGAGCTACATTAGATGTAGGCTGTTGTAGAGGACAGCTTATTTAAATTTGCTATGAAAAGTGTAGGTTTGACGTTTGTGACGACTGTAATCAGTGGTAATATTGCCCTTTACCCTTTCACAGAATTCTTATACTCCCGTGATTCTACATCTATTTTGTTCAAATAATTTCTGATTATTCTTTTGAAAATTGTCTTTTGTCCATATGTTTCATTAAGGAAGTAACGGAATATCACGAATTGTCCACCCATCTTGTCCAATGGCTACATGAACACCCGTCTATCATTATGACTGCACTAATTATTGTTCTATTATGAAATTAGGAATAAACTAGAAACCATTGATAAAAAAAAATCCCCGCCAGACTACATTGTGGCACAATGAAGTTATCGCAGTATGACATGTACATAGTTTACGGAGTTCAAATTGTATCATCTATTCGTAATTTTCTCTTCATTCTTAGGAAGTAACGGAGTATCATGGATCCCCGATCTATCCGGTCCTCGGATCAGGGACAAGCAGCGGTGAAGCAGATGAAATTAAAGGGAATGACTGTCCAGACATGAATAACATACTTCTATTGAGATCCGGTGATGTAGAACAAAACCCTGGCCCAAATGATAAGTAAGCACAATGAAAGAGCGACTTTGGATCTTATTCTGTCCATTGAGGTACGCCCGACCCTTGGTAGGAGATCACGTTTAAAGATAAACTTCATTAAACTTCAGACTAATTTCCATTCTAAATCCGATTATAAACTTTGGCAAAATACGAGCCAACGAATTTGTTGGTAAAAAATATTAATTGGAATATACCAATTGATCAATGAAAGCAAATGGTGACAGTAGAAGTTTCGCGTATTTCCGTTATGTTAACAGGTCCTTATTTTGCAATGTTTTTGGAGTGCTTGCATTCTAGCAAATGTTGGAAAATTGTAATATTGTAATGCAATCCAAACAAGAGTATTCACTTGAGATGATAATAAAAGGAAAGTCCTTTGACTGTAAAACCTCACAAATATATGTAAGCTGTGTATGATTTTCCCCCTTTCTTTTATCTAATGATTTAGACCTGGGAACCTCACCGAACTCGAACTTTATCTCATTGCTGACAGTATGGATCCATCAGATTTCAGGAAGGTCGGACTAGCTTTGGGATTCACTGAGGCTGAACTAAGTCGGTTTGAGAAAGATCAGATGGGCAACACTTTGTATGCTATCTATAAGATGCTTTACGAATGGCGGAAGAGAGTACGTGATAGCGAGGCGAGGGAGGCGTTGGTGGTCACGTTACACCGAATTAAGCTGGTACAGCTTGCTGATAGCGTACAGAAAGGTACAGTATTACTCACATGCATGCGTACACACACGACCATCCCCACCAAAAACACCACCACCAAAAACACGTTTACGCCTATATATGCAGTATCCAACAAAATTGAGCACACCCCAACAAAAAATATGAAAACTTATATGTAAACTTTTCACAAAGTTCTATGAAAACGAAGAGCCTTATTAAAAAAAAAAAAGTTCAAGCATTATGAGATATAATTATGAGTACTATTACGTAATCCATTAAAGCAGCGCAGCAAACTAAGAAGTATCCTTCAATCACGATGGCTTTGCTGCTCTGGCACGTCGATCCAATGGTCGATCCTCGAAATGCGCGGAATAAGCCATCTCATCGCACCGGAAGTCGTAATCAATATTCATAAAACTTTACCGAATAAGGCAGTACAACTCGTTACCTATGACCAATGAAATACAAGGAGCCGCGATCATTGGCCCTTCACCGTGCGATCGTCAGGATGTTGTTTCTGATTGGTTCATTTTCTGTACCAGGAGCTAAGCCAATAAGGATGAAAACACTAGGCGACTTAAGGAGAATTTTTAGTTCCATGGTGACTTTATTAGATGGCGTACAGTAAATCATGACGTAATTCAATGGCGTGACCACTCTCCCCTCCTGTGTTCTTTCCTGTTTGTTCAGTACACCATACACATGCTGAAATAGAAATACATCTGTATATGTATTCCGAATACATATTACTCTGAAACAGCAAAAACGTTTGATTTACTATCAAACACAGCACATGCTTCAATACTGGAAACAGACAGTTACATGTGTATCAAACTGGATGTCCCTTCGGAACATTGTGAACACTGTCTTACAAACCCAACTTTACTCTCCAATGTAAACAATTAAACAAAATTCTTCTTCAACATTTCGAATCCCCCCTTATTTTGCGTACTGTATCATGCTACAGATCATTTGATTTGACCGGAAATATTACCGATGGAACATATACATGTACAAAAACAAGAACTCCAACTTCTTACGATTGTTCAAAACATCAATCGCAGCTGCATATACAGCACAAACATTAGAAAATGAATTAACAATAAAAAAACAAAACAAAAACACTAGACTTTAATTCGTCACTTAGACGAATTAGGTGATACGTATGATAATGGTTTACATAACGAATAATTCATTACACGATATATTATTTTGCTTCTCCCATTCATATGCTTCTCCCATTATGATCTATTCATATGTCAAGATTAAATTGTGTCTCCTTGATCATCATGGATCTAGGGAAGATAGATTGAAACAATATATGACCTTTGACCCTGTGCAGTAACCAGTTACACATTTGACTCTAATTTGCATCATGAAGAACACCTTTTGACGATTTTATCTTATTCAAAGAAATGAAAATGTAATTGATAAATGATTAGCATCATTATGATAATGATGATCGTGATGATCATGATCATGATCATGAGCGCGATCATGACATCTTATTGAAAAAATGAGGGTTGATTTAGATAGCATATAGTCTCAGCTACAACATACTCAAAAATCAACAAAATCCAAGCCGAAATAACGGCGATATTGCTCGCAAAAGACAGGAATGTAGACTCCAGATTTGAGAAAAAGTCATTTCCCATAGGGATTACACGCAAAAAGTAATGGATTAAGTGAAAATAGGGTAATAATAAAGTAAAAAGGGTTGTTTATCACATTATTTGCGATTCTATGTGTTTAAATAATCAAAGGAGATGGTACAGTGAAAGTTCAAAAGGAAAAAAAAGTGGAGAAAAAATTGTTGGAGACACCTGGACTCGAACCAGGGATCTCGAGGTTGAAAGTCAAGTGCGTTACTGATATACCAAAACATCTCCCATAGCGATTACACGTAAACGGGAAATGGAATTCTGAAGTCCTACTTTGCAAGTGAAATATGAGCATGATCCCGGCATATGATCAAAAAATGAAGTGCACATTGGAGATAGGTAATTGTCTCAGCTACAACATATTCGAATCTCAGCGTAAACAAAGCTAAAACAACGGAGATGTTGCTCGCGAAAGACGGAAATGTAGAATCCAGTTTTGAGAAATAGTCATGTCCCATAGACAATACACGCAAAATGTGAAAAAATGACATGCCTCCTTTAATCGCAAAAATACTGAATTTGTAGAAAATTGTCTCAGCTAGAACATATCAAAATTTGAAAGAAAATTGATCGATATTTACAGAGATACAGTCAATTTTCCCAAAATATGCTGACGTCATAATATGCAAATTTAAATTTTGAGTTTGGAGGCCATTATGATGACGTCATGATTTAATTGAGGATCAAAAAAGACATGACATCATATCTCCGTGTCATAATTTATCCAAATATGAAAAAATATTAGGAGTTTCTATCTATTCTAAAGAGTTACAATGAATTTTATATAGGCATGTTTTTGCCCATGTATTGTGGATAAAGATAACACAGAGATTTTAGAATATGGTTAATGTAGACAACACTTTAAACTCTCACCAAATTAAATTTTTGGGCAAGTTTGAAAAAAAGAAGATGATATCTGCAAATATATATATCAGTACACAAAAAGCGTCCACAATTCTTAAACAAATTGGAAAAATATAATTGATTGATAAAGTTTTGAAATTACTATGTGGCATGCCTCTTAAACCATTCCTAGCCTAAATACAAGGACACGCAGTTTGGACTCTAAAGTTGATATGAAATACAAAATGAATTTCCAATAAGTAAAAAAGGAACGTCAGGAAATTCCTGCACAGAACCACTAGCATCTAAAAAACCCATAGTAACATTGACATACTTGTGGATTTTAATATCATAAAGCAAAGAAAGAACCGCTAGCATCTGATATTCCAACTGTAATATTCACATACGTATCGAGTCTCAGAGTCATAGTTCAAGGACAGACTTTAATAAGTTTAATCATAACCATGAATTGTATTTACAGTGTATGCGCTTGGAGAGCAAAATAATTATTATGTTTTATTTATATTAATATAAAGTGCATTGAGCATGTTTATGTAAAGGCTATGTACGTATGTATGTATGTATCTAGTTGGAACAATATCCGTTCCGGTATATCCATATTTGGTCCTACATCAATAACACCCCCTACCCCCTAAAAAAATGCCTAAAATTCCCCGAAAACAAACACATATGATTTCTCCTTTATTATTTCTATTTCTTATTATTGAGTACAACAAACAAAAATTGCTTTCATGCGTCTTTTCCAACAATATACACATTCTCCAACTCTCTATTACCCTCTCTCTACCTACCTTAATATCATGATATACAGATTAAAATTACAGAAGAATGGACAAAAAAGGGGCGGGGACGTAACATCATAATTAATTACACAAAAGGATAGATACACAATCCGATTAACGATTGACCTGTTGAGAGAACATGCGATAGTGGATAGGCTATAGATCAAAGCAACTGGTACTCTAAAGCACTCCGCGTGCTATACGATGTGATTAAGACCCAATTTGGGAATAATTTGCAATATATAGCATTTGACATGAACATTTAAACTTAAATTTTTAAATGAACGATGATTTAAATAGTCATATGATGAATGAAATTGAAGTTTGAATGGATTTCACGTTCCCTTCGAGGAGGAATAGCTACATCAGCTAAGAATCATATTGACGTCATACAAATAGTGCGATCGTCTACGATTTATAGCCGATTCTGCTTATATTCTGACTAGAGGCTTAAATGTTGTGTTATAAATATTAACCACGATAACATATTATCATTATTAACAACCTACATTAGGAAAAGAATTTAAAAAAAGAGAGGTCAATCAATTTTCAGAATTAAAGTTAGAATTAAGAAAATACAATTTAGTTAGTGATAATAGTCGAATTTGACTGATTGCCATATAATGCTGAACAACAACAACAAGGTTCGGTAGTTACTAAAGGCGACTTACAGCAAGCTGCACGCAAGTGTCGACTTTCCGTGCAATCAGATGACTATTCTATTTTTTGAGGACGATCATTGGATCGATAGAGCAGCAAAGCCGCCATGATTAAAGGCTACTATAACGAGTTTCATTGCAATAGTTAACGTTTATTTATAGGGTTTCGTAGATACTGTTGGATACTGCAATATAAAAGAGAGAGAGAGAGAGAGAGAGAACCGAGGGGGGAAGGGGGGGGGGGGGGCAATTCCAAGGTGATTTCTTCCATGTTGTTGCTGCTGATGGTAGTACTGCTGTTGTGTGATATTAAAACACTGGTCATATTTTTCTAGTCATGCTAAAGACAACGTTCTTCACCATTCTCATCACAGGTCAGGTTGGTGATCACATACCGTCCATGACAGAGAAGGAAATCCAACGGGTTGCTGAAGAGGTCAAACACTATTTGGCAATTCATCTATGCCAGATTCAAGCCGATCCACTGAACAGTGAACTTGTACTTGAATTCAAACGTATCTTCACCAATCTAACGTTGATGGAAGAAGACAAAGGTACAAAACTCAAGACACCGCTTCTCTACGATGACCTCCTCAGGACCAAAGTCAACGGAACCTATCCCAAACGCTTGTTGGTAGAAGGTGAAGGTGGTGTAGGAAAGACCACTTTTTGCGCCAAGATCGCTTGGGATTGGATCCACGGAAAAGCCTACCAAGATTTCAAACTGGTTCTTGTCATCCTCCTTCGCAAGACAGAGGGCAAGACTGTTGGAGAGATAGTGAAGTCGTATCTTTCTGACAACAATCCCGTCACAGCCAAACAGCTAGACAAGCACATCCTCTCAAATCCGGATGACGTTTTTCTTGTCTTGGATGGCCTAGATGAGTTTGCTGTCGATCTTGACAGCAATCAGCAAATCGCCCTGATCACTCTCAATCATCTGTTCAAGTCAGGGACAGTACTAATCACATCGAGACAATGGAGATCAGATGAGATTAGGAAGAATGCCGATCTTAGAAAGGTGTTTGCTTTCATTGCTGTAGAAGGTTTCTCTGCTGAAAACCTCTCTTCTTACATCACCAAGTTCTTTCATCCAGATGCAGCTTCCTCTGAAGATCTGAACCGATTCATATCGAACAACGATGTGATCAGAGAGAACATGGCTCCCTACCCCATATACACAGCCATGCTGTGTATCATGTGGAAAGAGTTTGATGGAGAGCGCCGAGAGGCAATGTCCAAGCTGCAAACATTTTCCCAGCTCTTCAATCAGATGATTGACTTTTTGGTTGATCATCACCTATCAAAGCACATTCCATCTTCAGGTATTGTTGGAGGCAAATTAAGTGAGCATTGTTCAGATATTCGTCATCACCTGATTCACATCGGCCGCATTGCCTTCCAGGGGCTTCTCGAAAGACGGTTAGTATTCACAGAAGAAGAGTTTCAGAGCTATCCAGAGTCCATCGATGTAGGTTGTAAAGTTGGTGTACTCACCAGAGAGAAGAAAATTCTTCCGAGGCGAGACAGGAGAAACACTCCAAATTCAGTAGTCCAATCGGTGCAGTTTCCCCATAAGCTCTTCCAGGAGTATCTATCAGGAATGTATCTTGCATCCCTTTACAAGTCAAACCGTAATGAGTATGACATGTTGATAGCGAGTATCATACAGGAAGCAGTGGAATACCGGTACCTACTGTACTTCACCTCGGCCCAGCAGAAGAGGGTCGGCTTTGATATCGTATCTCGTCTCATAGCGTTGAAACCAGTGCGCCAACCTTTCGGTATTGATGATGATGACTTCATCATAGATGTAGCATATGAGAGCCAAGACCAAGCAGTGACCAAAGCAGTGGTGGATCATCTATCGACTACGTCCAGAAAGACACTGAGGATCACCACATGGATGCAGGCACACACAGTATCAGGGCATACTTTCATCATGAATCATCGTGAAGTGGTAAGGAATGTAACATCGGATCGTAGCAACGTATACATGTTATGTTTGTTTGATCTCTTTGAGTGAAAGAATTGATTTAAGTTGATCGCCCGTGAAAAAATTGATTTAAATTTCATGCTCTCAGACTTTAATAGGATGACCTCGTTTGGTTTGAACACATGACTGTATACATATACTGTGTTTATGAACGATGCTTTGAACCCCGAAATGCTCTATAAGGCAATGCATTCTGTACAAACTCTCGTCACCCAAATTCACCCGAACGCTTGATAGAATACATTTTATTTAAATCAGTAGCATGTTTAAATTAAAGCAACTTCTATGGATCTGGCATGGATACAAGTCTGATCATCATATTTAAAAAAATTACTATCCACAAGGATTAATTATCGTTTAGGACTTTATTCTTTAAATAGGAGTTGTGATTTATTAATACAGTATAATTTTGATGGTTTATGTTTCTAGCCTTACAATATTATTTGTGTACATGTACATTGTAGGATGACCTGAGTATTAAGAAGTCATGTGGACGGACGGCTTCAGAGGACCTGGCTGAATTCATCTGCTCATCACGATCACTGAGATCTGTTACGATCGATCTTACTCAAGTTACTGGTACTATGCATGACGTCTTCTACTCGGTGCTTGCGAATAATGCAGTCGATTCCAAGGTCAGTATAAATCTTTGTATCATCCACATTGTCGTTTATTTGGTACATCATTCCTTAAAAAAATGGATGCCAAATTCAGTCAGGATTGAAATAATTTAGGAAAATACTGGGAAACAGAAATTTGCTTAATATAGAAAAACAAATTTAAATTTCAAACGTCTATGGCACGCATATCGGGAAACAATTAGAAATATTCAACAACAATAACAAATATTTTTCTCTCTCTGAAATAAACTCTCTCTCTCTCTCTCTTTCTTTCTCTCTCTCTCTCTCTCTCTCTCTCTCACTATTTCAACCCTGTTTAGCACCTATCCTTGAAGTTTTTTAAATTACTTTTCCGATGCGGTTGAGACATTTTTTCACCTACCCCATCACACTTTTTTGTTTTCGCTGTCAAAATTTCTGGTTAGGGTGTTTCTAATTATTTAAATGACCCAATCTCAAATTATTTTAACTAGATTTTGAGGCATGTAGTCTATAAAAGCATATCTTTCCAAATGCTCTGCTATCACAAATATATTATCTCAAAGGTCGTAACATGTGAATTGTATGAAATTAACACTTAGTGTATAAGGGGGGCTAGGACGCCCTCCTATCGTCATTTCCGTTACGTAGTATCCGCTTTGCATTTCGCATTGTCCTTTCATGTCTCTTCCCTAAGGTCCTACGCACATTTTGATAGCATGTTCGTCAAACTCGGATATACCCGTCAGATGTGACATAACAATTAGATGTGCATGTCACTAACATGTGCTATAATTCGTTCCTATTTTCACGAAGTGACAGTAGTGAGGACAATCGTCACGCAAATTGTATGCGATTTTCCTCACTACCGTCACTTCGTGAAAATAGGGACGAATTGCTTATATTCACGAACAGGCGGAATTCCGAATAGAGACTAGCATGTATATCTTCATAACAGGGATGTTTGAATTGATATCAAATTGTTATTAATCGTTTTTAAATCAATGTTAGGAATTCATTAAAAAAGATACTTGAGAATGGAGATTAAATTTTTTTTAAAGACGCAAAAAAATTAAATGAAATTTCCCCAATATATATCAGCAGTTGGTGAGTAATAGAGACAGATAATTATTTCCTGGGAAATAATGGTTGTGTTTGGCTGTAGAAATCATGGTAGTAGTTCTAAATACTCTGATAAAGTTCAAATAAGGATTTTTTTTTTAATGCATATAATTATCACAATTCAAAATCAACAATTTCATAATATATAACAATTATAAAAGGTTTCTACATTAAACAAGGTTTAGTCTGACCATTTTGTAATGATTCAATACTTGCCCGCATACACTGTGTGCACAATCTGCACTCCCTGGGAGGCATTCCAGCCAGGCGTTACTTGACGCTCAAAACTGTTTGCCCGACAATGACTGTCGCATCCTACCGCATGCGCGGATCCAGGATTCCTTAGGGGGGCCCATCTCCCCAAAAAGGTAAAATTAACGTTAAAAAATGAAAAAGTACACGTTTTTTCCCAGGGGGGGGGGGGGGGCCCCCCGGCCCCCCTGGATCCGCCACTGTCCTACCGGGTACCAATTTTAACACCTGGGTGGAGAGAAGCAAGTGCAGGTTAATATCTTGCCAAAGGACATTAGTGCCGTGTCGGGATTCGAACACTCGACCTTCGCATCTCCATTCAAGCGCCTTAAACCACTCGACCACGACATTCCTACGTAATACGTAATAATTATGTAATTTCCATATTCATTCTTAATGCAAATTTACGTATGCATCTTTAAGTTTTACAAAAACTAAAATGAATATGTTTACATCTGATAAAGGAAAATATTTCTCCAATATAGTATCGTTTTCAAGAGTCCAGACATATCTAGAGACACGAATATTTAGTCTTCTGAAAATGCATTGAATTAAAATTCTGCATAATTGATTCACGCTATATACTTTTTTTTCGAATGCATATCAGGGACTCCTTTATTGCTCATTACAGGACAGAGGAGAGGCATGCAATTGACGCGTTAATCGGATATTACACGGCCGAGATGACGGATGGGGGGATCCACTGGAAGTTTACTAATTTCGATAGTCAGACTAAATTCAGTGATTTTACTGTATAAACTAGTACGCCGTTGAGAAAAAAACAATTAGGAAAAAAATTACGCTTTTAGTGGAAGCAAAACAAATGTAATGTTATATATAATTCAGTATAGTAATGTCAGCAATTGTTTATCCAACCTGTTGTCGTACTATTACAACAGATTGAGACTCTTAACATTCACTCTGATGATCTCAGTGGACGTCCCTCAGCATCACGTGATCTCGCTCAGTTCATCTGTAAGATGACTCATCTGAAGGACCTGACACTCAAGGGTCAGTATCACCATGGACCTACTAGTACTACAGTAGGTCCATGGTATCACGATGCTTTCTACTCAACAGCGTCATCGATGGCATCATCCGCAAAGGTACTGATTTGATCATATATTTTGGGACTCTTAGCAAATCACTACATGTTTTTCTTATACTATTGGTGTACTCTTTCCTAATATAGTCAATCACAAGACTGGTACATCGATAAGAGCAAGCATGTAGGAAAAATTGATCGCTTCAGGAAGTGGAAGCGAAAAGTGAACTTTCTGCCATAGTACATATACAGAATGAAGATTATATAGATTGATATTGGATAATATGTACCTTATTTTTCATTGCATATGACAATTCGGAGTGCTACGGAATTGCTAATGGAGAGACGGCTATTTCAATTGTGAATACTGATGAGACTAAATAGTTTAATTTAAAGGCCTACAAAAATGATAAATCGAATCCGTTGGTGCCTGTTTGTATTATTTATTTACCCCTTTGGAAGCTACAAAGTGCATATATTTGTTTTTACACTTTTCTTAAATGAATGAGGATGACAACTGTCTCATTGTCAAGATTTTCCCTGGATATACAAAATAGCCAGACACTCTCATAAATGAGTTCTACAGACTGTTTATTGACAACTACATCAACATCTAAATTCATAGAAATATGCTGTTACACAAATATTACATATACGTACGGTCATTTAATTACTCTAATACCCACGAGTGTAGTCCCGTACAAGTTAATTTCCCAAATCATAAAAATCTGCTGTTACACAAATATTACAAATACGTACAGTCATTTAATTACTCCAATACCCACGAGTGTAGTCCCGTACAAGTTAACGATTCGATAGACTACTGAAATTAGTACATATTTTAGGGGTCAAGAATTGTACCTCATTACAAAATAAATGTTGTTGTGTAAAGGATTTTCAAATTGGCGACGATATCAATACAATTTTAAACATATAGCTAAATTTTGAATATATGTTTAATGGTTTGTTATTAGTATTCATTCAACATAATGTTACTATCGTAACAGATTGACCCTCTTAACATCCACTCTGGTGATATCAGTGGACGTCCCTCTGTATCACGTGATCTCGCTCAGTTCATCTGTAAGATGACTCATCTGAAGGACCTGACACTCGGCGGTCAGTATCACGATGACTTCTACTCAACAGCGTCATCGATGGCATCATCTGCAAAGGTACTGATTTGATCATATATTTTGGGACTCTTAGCAAATCACTACATGTTTTGTTATACTGTTGGTGTACTCTTTCCTATATAGTCAATCGCAAGTGTACAATTTTACTCTCCCTAGTGTTGGTACATCGATAAGAGCAAGCAGATAGGAACAATTGATCGCTTCAGGAAGTGGAAGCGAAACGTGAACTTTTTGCCATAGTACATACACAGAATGAAGATTATAAAGATTGATATTGGATAATATATGTACCATATTTTTCATTGCATATGACAATTCGGAGTGCTACGGAATTGCTGATGGAGAGACGGCTATTTTAATCCTGAATACTGATGAGACTAAATAGTTTAATTTAAAGACCTACACAAATGATAAATCGAATATGTTGGTCCCTGTTTGTATTGTTTATGTACCCCTTTGGAAACTCCAAAGTGTTCCGTATATATTTGTTTTTAAACTTTTCTTGAATCAAAATGTCAGAATAACGTTTTGCCTTTGTACATGAATGAGGATGGCAACTGTCTCATGATGTAAAGTATAACAATATTTGTATGTATTTTAATGTCAGCAACTTTTTATCCAATACAATGTTCCTATTATAACAGATTGAGATTTGACATCCAGTATGTGGATCACCCCACCCTTCCCTCACCACCACCACCTCACTCATTCCGACGTGAAAATGTAGTAGGGTCAGTAAAATAAACGGATCATATGCCCGGGGGAAAAAAAATCTCCTCCTCTCTGACAATCATGGATCCACCATTATACTGTTGTCAATAACATAATCAGGGTGTTCAGACTATCCCCGATCGAAAGCGCACATTTTCCTTCAAGAGTAGTCTGTTTGGTGACTGCTTTGCGACCAACGTTCTGCCTACTTCTTTTATTCTCTTTTGTGTACGACTTTAGATCATGAGCCAAGTCCTTCATTCATATTTCCCCACTACTCCCTCAGTCAACAGGTAAACATGATCTAGAAAGTATTATCATCTTCTTTGTCCGTAATGCCCACAGTCCCAATGTGATCAATCAAAAACATATTATGAAAAAACAGTTATGAATAAACACCATCCTATCGGTCTCAAAGAATCGAGAGACTACTGAAATTAGTACATATTTTAGGGGTCAAGACTTGTTCCTCATACAAAATAAATGTTGTTGTGTTAAGGATTTTCATAATGGGGACGATATGAATACAATTTAAAAATATAACTGAAATTTGAATATATTTTTTAATGGTTTGTTATTAGTATTCATTTAACAAAATGTTGCTATCATAACAGATTAAGACTCTTAAGATCTGCTCTGGTGATCTCAGTAAACGTCCCTCTGCATCACGTGATCTCGCTCAGTTCATCTATAAGATGACTCATCTGAAGAAGCTGACACTCCACGATCAGTATCACGATGAATTCTACTCAACATTATCATCGATGGCATTAACCGTAAAGGTATTGATTTGATCGTATATTTCAGGGCTCTCGACAAATCCCTTCATGTTTTGGATATACTAGAGGTGTAGTCTTTCCTTTTAGTCAAACGCAAGTGTACAATTTTACTTTCCTTATTGGAACACCGTTAAGAGCACATACGAAAAGTTGATCGTTTCTGGAAGTGGATGCTAAAAGTAAACTTTCTGTCATAATATAAAAACAGAATGAAAATTATTGGAGTAAAAGTGCATAATATACATTTCATATGACAATTCGAAGGGCTACGGAATTGCTGACGGAGAGACTGCCATTTCAATTGTGAATGCTGATGAGACTAAATATTTAAATTTAAAAACCTACACAAGTGAAAAATCAATCTCTTCTTCCCAGTTTGTATTATTTTTGTCACTCTTTTGAAATTGCAAAGTGTTCCATGTATATTTGTTTTCACACGATTGTGCTATGTAAAATTACTTTTTCAAAGTACTATTTAAATCGAATGTCAGAATAACGTATTGCATAATTATTAAGGATGGCTACTGTATCATAATGTAAAGTGGATTTTGTTTAAGGTAGTTTAATGTTAGCAATTGTTTATCCAACACAATGTTACTATTAAAACAGGTTAAGACTTGACATCCAGTATGTAGAACGCCCCCCTCCTACACACCCTCACTCATTCCAATGTGAATATGTATAAGGGTAGTAAAAATACCGGATCACATGCCCGGGAAAAGAAAATCCCGTCCTGTCTTTATACAATCATGGATCCAGGAACTATTTAAATTAGTACTTTTATTTCAGTTGTCAAGACTTGTACACTATCAACAAAATAAATGATATTGTCTTAAGAGTTTTTTATTGTGGCAACGGTATTAATATAACTCAAACATATTGTTGATTGTTGAATTCAGTTTTGATTGTTTTGTTATTGGTATTCATTCAACATTATGTTGCTATCATAACAGATTGAGACTCTTGACATCGACTCTGCTGATCTCGGTGAACGTCCCTTTGCATCACGTGATCTCGCTCAGTTCATCTGTAAGATGACTCATCTGAAGAAGCTGACACTCGACGGTCAGTATCACGATGACCTCTACTCAACATCATCATCGATGGCATCATCTGCAAAGGTATTGATTTGATTGTATTTTGTTGGACTCTTAACAAATCACTACATGTTTTTTGTTATACTGGAGGTGTACTCTGTACCTTTATAGTCAAACGCAAGTGTAGAATTTTACTCTCCCTATTGGTACACCGTTAAGAGCAGGTACGAAAAGTTGATCGTTTCTGGAAGTGGATGATAAAAGTAAACTTTCTGTCATAATATAAAAACAGAATGAAAATTATTAGAGTAAAAGTGCATAATATACATTTCATATGACAATTCGAAGGGCTACGGAATTGCTCATGGAAAGACTGCCATTTCAATTGTGAATGCTGATGGGACTAAATATTTAAATTTAAAAACCTACAAATATGAAAAATCGAATCTCTTCTTCCCAGTTTGTATTATTTTTGTCACTCTTTTGAAATTGCAAAGTGTTCCATGTATATTTGTTTTCACACGATTGTGCTATGTAAAATTACTTTTTCAAAGTACTATTTAAATCGAATGTCAGAATAACGTATTGCATAATTATTAAGGATGGCTACTGTATCATAATGTAAAGTGGATTTTGTTTAAGGTAGTTTAATGTTAGCAATTGTTTATCCAACACAATGTTACTATTAAAACAGGTTAAGACTTGACATCCAGTATGTAGAACGCCCCCCTCCTACACACCCTCACTCATTCCAATGTGAATATGTATAAGGGTAGTAAAAATACCGGATCACATGCCCGGGAAAAGAAAATCCCGTCCTGTCTTTATACAATCATGGATCCAGGAACTATTTAAATTAGTACTTTTATTTCAGTTGTCAAGACTTGTACACTATCAACAAAATAAATGATATTGTCTTAAGAGTTTTTTATTGTGGCAACGGTATTAATATAACTCAAACATATTGTTGATTGTTGAATTCAGTTTTGATTGTTTTGTTATTGGTATTCATTCAACATTATGTTGCTATCATAACAGATTGAGACTCTTGACATCGACTCTGCTGATCTCGGTGAACGTCCCTTTGCATCACGTGATCTCGCTCAGTTCATCTGTAAGATGACTCATCTGAAGAAGCTGACACTCGACGGTCAGTATCACGATGACCTCTACTCAACATCATCATCGATGGCATCATCTGCAAAGGTATTGATTTGATTGTATTTTGTTGGACTCTTAACAAATCACTACATGTTTTTTGTTATACTGGAGGTGTACTCTGTACCTTTATAGTCAAACGCAAGTGTAGAATTTTACTCTCCCTATTGGTACACCGTTAAGAGCAGGTACGAAAAGTTGATCGTTTCTGGAAGTGGATGATAAAAGTAAACTTTCTGTCATAATATAAAAACAGAATGAAAATTATTAGAGTAAAAGTGCATAATATACATTTCATATGACAATTCGAAGGGCTACGGAATTGCTCATGGAAAGACTGCCATTTCAATTGTGAATGCTGATGGGACTAAATATTTAAATTTAAAAACCTACAAATATGAAAAATCGAATCTCTTTGTCCCAGTTTGTATTATTTTTGTCACTCTTTTGAAATTGCAAAGTGTTCCATGTTTATTTGTTTTCACACTTTTCTGCTATGTCAAATTAGTTTTTCAAAGTACTATTTAAATCGAATGTCAGAATAACGTATTGCATAATTATTAAGGATGGCTACTGTATCATGATGTAAAGTGGAATCTGTTTAAGGTAGTTTAATGTTAGCAATTGTTTATCCAACACAATGTTACTATTAAAACAGGTAAAGACTTGACATCCAGTATGTAGAACGCCCCCCTCCTACACACCCTCACTCATTCCAATGTGAATATGTATAAGGGTCAGTAAAAATACCGGATCACATGCCCGGTAAAAGAAAATCCCGTCCTGTCTTTATACATTCATGGATCCACCACTTTGTAGTCAATAACATTATAAGGGTGTTCAGGTTCTCTACGGAAGAGAGGACAGGGTTTTCTCAAGAGTAGTGTGATTGGGGACTGGCTCAAGACCGTTCTGCCTTCTTGTGTTATTATCTTTTGTTCTGTAAGACTTTAGAGCATGAGCCAAGTCCTTCATTCATATTTACCCGCTTCTCCCTCAGTCAACAGGTCAAATTCAAATTCAAATTCAAATTTATTCATGTTTCCAACAAAACATTACAAATCAGTTATAAGCATTTAAAACAAATGTAAGAAATACATGTTGGAAACAGAGGGGTCCACTAAAAAGCAATGCTTGTACAAGTGTGAACACCTCAAATGATACTTAGGAATAATGAGTAATTAAATTAACTAATCTGTAACTACAAAAGGAACTACAAAATAGGGGAAAGAAAAAGGGGGATGCCAACAGAGACGAGAAAGGGACAAGACAATACTTTACACGACAAAGATAGAAGAACACGGTCATAATACAAAGAGTGACAATGACAAAAAGAAGTGAAAGATCGAGGGTACAGAAAATGATACAAGATGATGAGATGCAAGTGGGGTTGAGAAAAAGATAAGGAAAGAGAAATGCGCGTTAGAAAGGAAATAGGCATGAGAAGGCACAATATAATATATCAAATTACATTTTGAGTCAGCGAGTGGAGAATGATCTTGTATTAAGCAAAAGCAACAACGGCATATAATTCGATGAGGTGTATATGTTTGTAATAAAAACAATTTCAATTTTTTCTTAAAAGTATTAATAGATGGAGCATTTTTTATTTCACTACTTAAAGAATTCCAAAACTTTGGACCTTCATATATAAATGTTTTTTGAGCTGAGAGGGTCCGCAAGAGAGGTAAATGAAAATCATCTGAATGTCTTGTGGGGTAATTATGAACTGAGCTATTTTAAAAAAAACATTTCTTGAAAAACAGATGGCAACATATTATTTTTATAATTATACATAAATTGACCGAGTTGGAACAAATATAAGTCTTTTACCTTTAGTATCTTTTTTTCAAAAAATAAAGCGTCTGTATGGGAGCGAAAGGGGGAATTACTAATAATACGAATAATCTTCTTTTGTAATAAAAACACTTTGTCTAACGACGTTTGATGAGTGTTACCCCAAACTAAGAGACCGTAGTTCAAGTATGGGAGTATCATAGAACTATAAAGCATAATTAAGGAATTAAGAGCCAGGAATCTCCTGAACAATCGTTACCACTAAATGCCACTACTTGTGACAATATCACCTTTACTTCTAAAAACAGTCTCAATCCAACTGGCTCACAAACTGATGTAAATTGGGCCCACACCTGTAAGTACTTCGGAACTCAAGATAAATTATTCAGCTGCCTTCCTAAAACAGGTTTAAAAATATGTCACATTAATATAAATTCAATTGTACCAAAGTTATCTGAACTTAAAATTGTACTTCAACATAATCCTTTCCATGTTGTTGCTGTCTCTGAAACCAAATGCGATGCTACCATATCTGATTCTGAATTAGACATTGAAAATTACAATATTTTCCGCAAAGACCGCAACCGGCATGGAGGGGGTGTGGCTCTGTACGTGAAAGATGACGTAAGTTGCCGGTTTGAAAATAATATTACATGCGACGATATTGAAGCCCTGTGGGTAAAATTATCGCCAAAACATTCAGAAACACTTCTTATATGTGTTATCTACAGACCTCCAAATTCGTCGTCAAGTTACTTTGATTTATTGAACGGAATGTTAAGTCAAGCTGTCACCAATACAGATGTGGAAATGATATTACTTGGAGACTTAAATTGTGATATGTGTCCAAATAACATAGACTCTCTATCACGATCTCTCGAAGAGATGATGTCTGTTTTTCTTTTCGATCAACTGATTGATGTTCCAACACGAGTGACGACAACGTCGCAAACTATTATTGATCTTATATATTCCACTGACGTAGAAAATCACTCCTTGAATGGAGTGCTAAAAACATCATTTAGTGATCATTATATGATTTTCACCGTTTACGGTGATGCTGATATTACTCAAAAAGAAAATATCATAGAATGGAGAGATTTTAAGGGTTTTGAGTTTGCAGAATTCAATTTTTTACTTTCCCAAGTGCATTTTGAAGAATTATATCAGTGTAAGGATGTTAACTGTGCATGGGATATATGGTTCAACCCGATAATGGAAATTGTAAATATGTGTGCACCATACAAAAGAAAACGTCTAAGAAATAATCCATGTCCTTGGGTGACAGGTGACGTCATTAAATTGATGAACACGAGGGACTACCTTCGTGATAAAGCAATACAGCTCTCGTCATCAGATTTTTGGGAACAATATAAAAAATGCAGAAATCTTATCACACGCGAACTCAAAAATCTTAAAAAATCATACACTACTTCATTATTGAACGACAAATCAGGAAACGCAAATGCGTTATGGGATGTTATGCGACGTCTTACTAAGAAAAGTCAGTCTAAAAATATAATATTGAATGTAAACGATGTTGAAATATCAGACTTAAAGGAGGTTGTTGAATATTTTAATACGTATTTTGTTGACCCCTTTTCTGAACTCACTAAAGGTTTTGAGCTCGAGACCGAAACTATTAAGAGATGTGAATCACTTGAAGAAAATCTGGAAAAACAAACAAACGGTGATTTACTTTACTTTTCAAATATCTCGATAGATTTCGTCATCAAACAGATAAAATCATATACTTGCAAAAAAGCAACTGGGTATGATGAACTCTCTGTTAAAATACTGAAATATATCTGTGATATTCCTCATGTAATGCAAAGTTTAGTATATATACTCAATTTGTCTTTGCATTCTTCAGTATACCCTGATGCTTGGAAGATAGCCCGAGTCCAACCAATTCCCAAAGGAGGGGATACAGCCATAATGAAAAACTACAGACCCGTGTCTATATTGCCGATTTTATCTAAAATAATTGAAAGGGCAGTTTATTTAAATATCTTTGAATATCTGTCTCAGCATAATCTATTTTATAAGAACCAATTTGGATTTCGTCCTAAGCACTCATGTGAAACAGCCCTATTGTGCATGGTTAACCAGTGGTCAGTCAATGTAGACAAAGGGTATTTAAATGGTGTAGCTTTTATAGATCTCCGACGTGCATTCGATACAGTCAATCACTCTCTCCTCTTAAATAGATTACATCAATATGGTTGCTCTCCGCATGTAATTAAATGGTTTGAATCATACTTGAAAAATCGCCAACAATTTGTCTCATTAGGGAAAGAAAAATCAACATTTAGAAATATAACAATGGGAGTTCCACAAGGGTCCATCCTGGCCCCGCTCCTTTTTACTCTATTCGTTAATGACCTCCCATGTTCCATCTCAAATGGCATTGTTTATATGTATGCGGATGATACTACTATTTCTGTATGTGGAAAAAACTAAGCAAGAGGTAGAACTCAAACTGACAAAAGCTCTTGGTGAACTGAATTCTTGGCTGAATAAAAATAAGTTGATTTTGAATAGTGATAAAACCAAAACGATGCTGCTAGGATCAAAGCAAAAGCTTAGATCATTAGATAACAGTATGCTGTCGATTGAATTAAATAGATGCCAATTGGAATGTGTATATACATATAAATGTTTGGGAGTTATAATTGATAACAGTCTTGACTTTAAAAAACATATCGAAAGTATTGCTTTAACTGTGAAACAGAAATTAGGAACTATTCGTCGATGTAAACATTATTTTGATAAAGCACAATTGAACAAACTGTACTGGGCTTTTGTAGTGCCCCATTTAATGTACTGTTGTACCGTTTGGTCTGGGAGATCTGAAGCAAACCATAGTAAACTGGAAAGATTACATAAGAGGGCAGCATATATGATATCTCGTTTTTCCTGGGAAACCCCATCTGAACAAGTGTTTGAAATTCTATCCTGGCCGAAAGTAGATCATCTGTTTTTTAGAGCATCTTGTTGCATGATTCATAAATGCTTACATAAAGCTGCACCTGAAGTACTAGGTGATAAGTTTATTTATATTGAAGCGATATCATCTCGAACAACAAGGAGCACAAATAAGATGCTAATTAGGATGCCACATGTTCGTACGACCTTTTATCAGAAGTCATTTCTTGTCACAGGTCCATCAAACTGGAATAAATTACCCGAACGTATTCGATTTATAAAAAATATGAAACCATTTAAACAAGAATTGGCAAAATGGCAAAAGACATCCACATTTTAATATGATTATGGTATGATATAACTCTTCTTTTTCTCCTCTTTTTATATATTTTATCATATCTTCTTCTTGTTTTCTCTTGTTGGTTTGTTATTGTGGTTGTATGTTGCTGTTGTTTTTTTTTTTTTTTTTTTTTTTTTTTAACAACTTTTTACTGTTTGCTTCAATAGGACATATGACATTTACATATTTGAATCATATACATTTTACTAATTTCGTTATTCTCTATGTTCAAATCCTTTTATATAACCTGGTTTGCAATTTTAGTTTGTTAAAATCGTATTTTGTAACTTTCTATATTTATTTATATTTTTATATTTGTATCATATACATTTTAATCATTTCGTTATTCTTTATAATCAAATCCTTATTTATAACCTGGTTTGCAATTTTTTGTTTGTTAAAATCGAATTTTGTAATTTTCTATATTTATTTATATTTTGATATGTTGATGAAATGTATATACTTGTTTGTGTCATGAAGGGCCTCAACGAAAACCAGTATTTGTTTGCTGATTGGGCTACCCTTCTTTTTAAAGATGTGTTATAAATAAAGAGGAAGACATGTCTTTACTTTGTAAATAATACCAATATTTCGAGAAATAATTTTACAAATATTGTCGATGAGATTTTTCCAAGAAAGCTTTAGGTCAACCGTTACACCCAAAAATGTATTAAATGAAACACACTCCAATGGAGTATTTTCAAAAACTATGTTTCCTGGCAATGAATTTATAGAATTACTAAATAACATATACTTCGTTTTCTGGAGATTCAAAGATAATTTGTTCGCTCTAATCCACGATAAAATATTACACATTTCGATATTAATTATTTCAACTAATCTATGAGAGTCTTTGTGAGAAAAAAATAAATTTGTGTCATCAGCAAAAAGTATGAAAGACAAAATATCAGATGATCGACAAAAGTCATTAATATATAGAATAAATAATAGCGGGCCTAAAATGCTACCTTGTGGAACACCACAATTTATTTTACGAAGATCTGAGGAGTTGTTATTTAAAAAAACATATTGCTTTCTATCCGAAAGATAGCTCCTGAACCACTCCAAGGCCTTCCCACGTACACCATAATGTGAAAGTTTATAAAGTAAAATATCGTGGTTAATCGTGTCGAAGGCCTTGGAGAAGTCCAGGAAAATACCTATCATATGGGAAGATTTGTCGATGGTCAACATGATTTATAAAATATTGTACTTTTCTGTATCCGCAATGCCCAGTCCACATTGAGTCAATCAAAAACCTATTAATTACCTCTGTCCTTATCTATCATTTATGAATAAACGCCATTACCTTGGTCTCAAAAAAATCCAGGAACTATTTAAATTAGTACTTTTATTTCAGGTGTCAAGACTTGTACACTATCAACAAAATAAATGATATTGTCTTAAGAGTTTTTTTATTGTGGCAACGGTATTACTATAACTCAAACATATTGTTGATTGTTGAATTCAGTTTTGATTGTTTTGTTATTGGTATTCATTCAACATTATGTTGCTATCATAACAGATTGAGACTCTTTACATCTACTCTGCTGATCTCGGTGAACGTCCCTTTGCATCACGTGATCTCGCTCAGTTCATCTGTAAGATGACTCATCTGAATGACCTGACACTCGACGGTCAGTATCACGATGACTTCTACTCAACATCATCATCGATGGCATCATCTGCAAAGGTATTGATTTGATTGTATTTTGTTGGACTCTTAACAAATCACTACATGTTTTTGTTATACTGAAGGTGTACTCTTTACCTTTATAGTCAAACGTAAGTGTAGAATTTTACTCTCCCTATTGGTACACCGTTAAGAGCAGGTACGAAAAGTTGATCGTTTCTGGAAGTGGATGATTAAAGTAAGGGCTACGGAATTGCTCATGGAAAGAATTGCTCATGGATAGAGTACCATTTCAATTGTGAATGCTGATGGGATTAAATATTTAAATTTAAAAACCTACAAAAATGAAAAATCGAATCTCTTTGTCCCAGTTTTTATTATTTTTGTCACTCTTTTGAAATTGCAAAGTGTTCCATATTTATTTGTTTTCACACTTTTCTGCTATGTCAAATTAGTTTTTCAAAGTACTATTTAAATCGAATGTCAGAATAACGTATTGCATAATTATTAAGGATGGCTACTGTATCATAATGTAAAGTGGAATTTGTTTAAGGTAGTTTAATGTTAGCAATTGTTTATCCAACACAATGTTACTATTAAAACAGGTTAAGACTTGACATCCAGTATGTAGAACGCCCCCCTCCTACACACCCTCACTCATTCCAATGTGAATATGTATAAGGGTAGTAAAAATACTGGATCACATGCCCGGGAAAAGAAAATCCCGTCCTGTCTTTATACAATCATGGATCCACCACTTTGTAGTCAATAACATTATCAGGGTGTTCAGGTTCTATACGGAAGAGAGGACAGGGTTTTCTCAAGAGTAGTGTGATTGGGGACTGGCTCAAGACCGTTCTGCCTTCTTGTGTTATTATCTTTTGTTCTGTAAGACTTTAGAGCATGAGCCAAGTCTTTCATTCATATTTACCCGCTTCTCCCTCAGTCAACAGGTCAAATTCAAATTCAAATTCAAATTTATTCATGTTTCCAACAAAACATTACAAATCAATTATAAGCATTTAAAACAAATGTAAGAAATACATGTTGGAAACAGAGGGGTCCACTAAAAAGCAATGCTTGTACAAGTGTGAACACCTCAAATGATACTTAGGAATAATGAGTAATTAAATTAACTAATCTGTAACTACAAAAGGAACTACAAAATAGGGGAAAGAAAAAGGGGGATGCCAACAGAGACGAGAAAGGGACAAGACAATACTTTACACGACAAAGATAGAAGAACACGGTTATAATACAAAGAGTGACAATGACAAAAAGAAGTGAAAGATCGAGGGTACAGAAAATGATACAAGATGATGAGATGCAAGTGGGGTTGAGAAAAAGATAAGGAAAGAGAAATGCGCGTTAGAAAGGAAATAGGCATGAGAAGGCACAATATAATATATCAAATTACATTTTGAGTCAGCGAGTGGAGAATGATCTTGTATTAAGCAAAAGCAACAACGGCATATAATTCAATGAGGTGTATATGTTTGTAATAAAAACAATTTCAATTTTTTCTTAAAAGTATTAATCGATGGAGCATTTTTTATTTCACTACTTAAATAATTCCAAAACTTTGGACCTTCATATATAAATGTTTTTTGAGCTGAGAGGGTCCACAAGAGAGGTAAATGAAAATCATCTGAATGTCTTGTGGGGTAATTATGAACTGAGCTATTTTTAAAAAAACATTTCTTGAAAAACAGATGGCAACATATTATTTTTATAATTATACATAAATTGACCTAGTTGGAACAAATATAAGTCTTTTACCTTTAGTATCTTTTTTTCAAAAAATAAAGCGTCTGTATGGGAGCGAAAGGGGGAATTACTAATAATACGAATAATCTTCTTTTGTAATAAAAACACTTTGTCTAACGACGTTTGATGAGTGTTACCCCAAACTAAGAGACCGTAGTTCAAGTATGGGAGTATCATAGAACTATAAAGCAAAATTAAGGAATTAAGAGGAAGACATGTCTTTACTTTGTAAATAATACCAATATTTCGAGAAATAATTTTACAAATATTGTCGATGTGATTTTTCCAAGAAAGCTTTAGGTCAACCGTTACACCCAAAAATGTATTAAATGAAACACACTCCATTGGAGTATTTTTAAAAACTATGTTTACTGGCAATGAATTTATAGAATTACTAAATAACATATACTTCGTTTTCTGGAGATTCAAAGATAATTTGTTCGCTCTAATCCACGATAAAATATTACACATTTCGATATTAATTATTTCAACTAATCTATGAGAGTCTTTGTGAGAAAAAAATAAATTTGTGTCATCAGCAAAAAGTATGAAAGACAAAATATCAGATGATCGACAAAAGTCATTAATATATAGAATAAATAATAGCGGGCCTAAAATGCTACCTTGTGGAACACCACAATTTATTTTACGAAGATCTGAGGAGTTGTTATTTAAAAAAACATATTGCTTTCTATCCGAAAGATAGCTCCTGAACCACTCCAAGGCCTTCCCACGTACACCATAATGTGAAAGTTTATAAAGTAAAATATCGTGGTTAATCGTGTCGAAGGCCTTGGAGAAGTCCAGGAAAATACCTATCATATGGGAAGATTTGTCGATGGTCAACATGATTTATAAAATATTGTACTTTTCTGTATCCGCAATGCCCAGTCCACATTGAGTCAATCAAAAACCTATTAATTACCTCTGTCCTTATCTATCATTTATGAATAAACGCCATTACCTTGGTCTCAAAAAAATCCAGGAACTATTTAAATTAGTACTTTTATTTCAGGTGTCAAGACTTGTACACTATCAACAAAATAAATGATATTGTCTTAAGAGTTTTTTTATTGTGGCAACGGTATTACTATAACTCAAACATATTGTTGATTGTTGAATTCAGTTTTGATTGTTTTGTTATTGGTATTCATTCAACATTATGTTGCTATCATAACAGATTGAGACTCTTTACATCTACTCTGCTGATCTCGGTGAACGTCCCTTTGCATCACGTGATCTCGCTCAGTTCATCTGTAAGATGACTCATCTGAATGACCTGACACTCGACGGTCAGTATCACGATGACTTCTACTCAACATCATCATCGATGGCATCATCTGCAAAGGTATTGATTTGATTGTATTTTGTTGGACTCTTAACAAATCACTACATGTTTTTGTTATACTGGAGGTGTACTCTTTACCTTTATAGTCAAACGTAAGTGTAGAATTTTACTCTCCCTATTGGTACACCGTTAAGAGCAGGTACGAAAAGTTGATCGTTTCTGGAAGTGGATGATTAAAGTAAGGGCTACGGAATTGCTCATGGAAAGAATTGCTCATGGATAGAGTACCATTTCAATTGTGAATGCTGATGGGACTAAATATTTAAATTTAAAAACCTACAAAAATGAAAAATCGAATCTCTTTGTCCCAGTTTTTATTATTTTTGTCACTCTTTTGAAATTGCAAAGTGTTCCATATTTATTTGTTTTCACACTTTTCTGCTATGTCAAATTAGTTTTTCAAAGTACTATTTAAATCGAATGTCAGAATAACGTATTGCATAATTATTAAGGATGGCTACTGTATCATAATGTAAAGTGGAATTTGTTTAAGGTAGTTTAATGTTAGCAATTGTTTATCCAACACAATGTTACTATTAAAACAGGTTAAGACTTGACATCCAGTATGTAGAACGCCCCCCTCCTACACACCCTCACTCATTCCAATGTGAATATGTATAAGGGTAGTAAAAATACTGGATCACATGCCCGGGAAAAGAAAATCCCGTCCTGTCTTTATACAATCATGGATCCACCACTTTGTAGTCAATAACATTATCAGGGTGTTCAGGTTCTATACGGAAGAGAGGACAGGGTTTTCTCAAGAGTAGTGTGATTGGGGACTGGCTCAAGACCGTTCTGCCTTCTTGTGTTATTATCTTTTGTTCTGTAAGACTTTAGAGCATGAGCCAAGTCTTTCATTCATATTTACCCGCTTCTCCCTCAGTCAACAGGTCAAATTCAAATTCAAATTCAAATTTATTCATGTTTCCAACAAAACATTACAAATCAATTATAAGCATTTAAAACAAATGTAAGAAATACATGTTGGAAACAGAGGGGTCCACTAAAAAGCAATGCTTGTACAAGTGTGAACACCTCAAATGATACTTAGGAATAATGAGTAATTAAATTAACTAATCTGTAACTACAAAAGGAACTACAAAATAGGGGAAAGAAAAAGGGGGATGCCAACAGAGACGAGAAAGGGACAAGACAATACTTTACACGACAAAGATAGAAGAACACGGTCATAATACAAAGAGTGACAATGACAAAAAGAAGTGAAAGATCGAGGGTACAGAAAATGATACAAGATGATGAGATGCAAGTGGGGTTGAGAAAAAGATAAGGAAAGAGAAATGCGCGTTAGAAAGGAAATAGGCATGAGAAGGCACAATATAATATATCAAATTACATTTTGAGTCAGCGAGTGGAGAATGATCTTGTATTAAGCAAAAGCAACAACGGCATATAATTCAATGAGGTGTATATGTTTGTAATAAAAACAATTTCAATTTTTTCTTAAAAGTATTAATCGATGGAGCATTTTTTATTTCACTACTTAAATAATTCCAAAACTTTGGACCTTCATATATAAATGTTTTTTGAGCTGAGAGGGTCCACAAGAGAGGTAAATGAAAATCATCTGAATGTCTTGTGGGGTAATTATGAACTGAGCTATTTTTAAAAAACATTTCTTGAAAAACAGATGGCAACATATTATTTTTATAATTATACATAAATTGACCTAGTTGGAACAAATATAAGTCTTTTACCTTTAGTATCTTTTTTTCAAAAAATAAAGCGTCTGTATGGGAGCGAAAGGGGGAATTACTAATAATACGAATAATCTTCTTTTGTAATAAAAACACTTTGTCTAACGACGTTTGATGAGTGTTACCCCAAACTAAGAGACCGTAGTTCAAGTATGGGAGTATCATAGAACTATAAAGCAAAATTAAGGAATTAAGAGGAAGACATGTCTTTACTTTGTAAATAATACCAATATTTCGAGAAATAATTTTACAAATATTGTCGATGTGATTTTTCCAAGAAAGCTTTAGGTCAACCGTTACACCCAAAAATGTATTAAATGAAACACACTCCATTGGAGTATTTTTAAAAACTATGTTTACTGGCAATGAATTTATAGAATTACTAAATAACATATACTTCGTTTTCTGGAGATTCAAAGATAATTTGTTCGCTCTAATCCACGATAAAATATTACACATTTCGATATTAATTATTTCAACTAATCTATTACCCCATTCACAGTGGCCTCAAACACCGCGACAGCGGCGGGACTGTCCCGCTGCTGTCGCGGTGTTGTCTTCAGTGTGAAGGCTCGGACCCGTTATAAACTATCGCGGGATAACACCGCCTCGCGATAACGCCGCGACAAACTATCGCTAGGTTCGCCTAGCTACAGCAGCGGGACAGTCCCGCTGCTGTCGCGGTGTTTACTCAGTGTGAAGGCTCTCCGCTATAACACCGCGACAAACACGTGTGATTTGTTTACTTACCTATCACTGACCTCTTTTCTCCAGCAATGGGGAACATAAAGTGAAATAGAAATAAAGTAACCAGTGGATTCAAATTGATTTTATTATTATGTAGATATTATAATTATCCAAATAAAAATATTTCACACTTCAAAAAATTAAAATATTCTGACTGGAAAGCGACAGCAATACGTAAAAGTATAGATAGATCCATAGTTAAATCGAGCTAGCTACATGAGGAAGAGTGTGTAAAGTACAGCTAGCGCGCGCAATTTCAAGCAATCGAAAACCCCGCGCTGAAGTATTTCCGGTCATATCGGGGTCACTCGCAGGTCATGAGCCATGCATACACGTGTTTGTTACGGAGGTAATAAAAATCACCCGCTGCAGCGTGAATGGGTACATGATATTTATCCCGCTGCTGCAGCGGGATAACTTTTCTACTGTGAATGCATTTGTAGCGGTGTTATGGCGGTGTCGCCGCTCCGCTACAACGCCGCTACAAATTTCAAAACCACTGTGAATGGGGTATTTGAGAGTCTTTGTGAGAAAAAAATAAATTTGTGTCATCAGCAAAAAGTATGAAAGACAAAATATCAGATGATCGACAAAAGTCATTAATATATAGAATAAATAATAGCGGGCCTAAAATGCTACCTTGTGGAACACCACAATTTATTTTACGAAGATCTGAGGAGTTGTTATTTAAAAAAACATATTGCTTTCTATCCGAAAGATAGCTCCTGAAACACTCCAAGGCCTTCCCACGTACACCATAATGTGAAAGTTTATAAAGTAAAATATCGTGGTTAATCGTGTCGAAGGCCTTGGAGAAGTCCAGGAAAATACCTATCATATGGGAAGATTTGTCGATGGTCAACATGATTTATAAAATATTGTACTTTTCTGTATCCGCAATGCCCAGTCCACAGTGAGTCAATCAAAAACCTATTAATTACCTCTGTCCTTATCTATCAGTTATGAATAAACGCCATTACCTTGGTCTCAAAAAAATCCGGGAACTATTTAAATTAGTACTTTTATTTCAGGTGTCAAGACTTGTACACTATCAACAAAATAAATGATATTGTCTTAAGAGTTTTTTTTATTGTGGCAACGGTATTAATATTACTCAAACATATTGTTGATTGTTGAATTCAGTTTTGATTGTTTTGTTATTGGTATTCATTCAACATTATGTTGCTATCATAACAGATTGAGACTCTTGACATCGACTCTGCTGATCTCGGTGAACGTCCCTTTGCATCACGTGATCTCGCTCAGTTCATCTGTAAGATGACTCATCTGAAGGACCTGAAACTCGACGGTCAGTATCACGATGACTTCTACTCAACATCATCATCGATGGCATCATCTGCAAAGGTATTGATTTGATTGTATTTTGTTGGACTCTTAACAAATCACTACATGTTTTTGTTATACTGGAGGTGTACTCTTTACCTTTATAGTCAAACGTAAGTGTAGAATTTTACTCTCCCTATTGGTACACCGTTAAGAGCAGGTACGAAAAGTTGATCGTTTCTGGAAGTGGATGATTAAAGTAAGGGCTACGGAATTGCTCATGGAAAGAATTGCTCATGGAAAGAGTGCCATTTCAATTGTGAATGCTGATGGGACTAAATATTTAAATTTAAAAACCTACAAAAATGAAAAATCGAATCTCTTTGTCCCAGTTTTTATTGTTTTTGTCACTCTTTTGAAATTGCAAAGTGTTCCATGTTTATTTGTTTTCACACTTTTGTGCTATGTCAAATTAGTTTTTCAAAGTACTATTTAAATCGAATGTCAGAATAACGTATTGCATAATTATTAAGGATGGCTACTGTATCATAATGTAAAGTGGAATTTGTTTAAGGTAGTTTAATGTTAGCAATTGTTTATCCAACACAATGTTACTATTAAAACATGTTAAGACTTGACATCCAGTATTTAGAACGCCCCCCTCCTACACACCCTCACTCATTCCAATGTGAATATGTATAAGGGTAGTAAAAATACCGGATCACATGCCCGGGAAAAGAAAATCCCGTCCTGTCTTTATACAATCATGGATCCACCACTTTGTAGTCAATAACATTATCAGGGTGTTCAGGTTCTCTACGGAAGAGAGGACAGGGTTTTCTCAAGAGTAGTGTGATTGGGAACTGGCTCAAGACCGTTCTGCCTTCTTGTGTTATTCTCTTTTGTTCTGTAAGACTTTAGAGCATGAGCCAAGTCCTTCATTCATATTTACCCGCTTCTCCCTCAGTCAACAGGTCAACATGATTTATAAAATATTATATTTTTCTGTATCCGCAATGCCCAGTCCACAGTGAGTCAATCAAAAACCTATTAATTACCTCTGTCCTTATCTATCAGTTATGAATAAACGCCATTACCTTGGTCTCAAAAAAATCCAGGAACTATTTAAATTAGTACTTTTATTTCAGGTGTCAAGACTTGTACACTATCAACAAAATAAATGATATTGTCTTAAGAGTTTTTTTATTGTGGCAACGGTATTAATGTTACTCAAACATATTGTTGATTGTTGAATTCAGTTTTGATTGTTTTGTTATTGGTATTCATTCAACATTATGTTGCTATCATAACAGATTGAGACTCTTTACATCCGCTCTCGTGATCTCGGTGAACGTCCCTCTGCATCACGTGATATCGCTCAGTTCATCTTTAAGATGACTCATCTGAAGAAGCTGACACTCGACGGTCAGTATCACGATGACTTCTACTCAACATCATCATCGATGGCATCATCTGCAAAGGTATTGATTTGATTGTATTTTGTTGGACTCTTAACAAATCACTACATGTTTTTGTTATACTGGAGGTGTACTCTTTACCTTTATAGTCAAACGTAAGTGTAGAATTTTACTCTCCCTATTGGTACACCGTTAAGAGCAGGTACGAAAAGTTGATCGTTTCTGGAAGTGGATGATTAAAGTAAGGGCTACGGAATTGCTCATGGAAAGAATTGCTCATGGAAAGAGTGCCATTTCAATTGTGAATGCTGATGGGACTAAATATTTAAATTTAAAAACCTACAAAAATGAAAAATCGAATCTCTTTGTCCCAGTTTTTATTGTTTTTGTCACTCTTTTGAAATTGCAAAGTGTTCCATGTTTATTTGTTTTCACACTTTTGTGCTATGTCAAATTAGTTTTTCAAAGTACTATTTAAATCGAATGTCAGAATAACGTATTGCATAATTATTAAGGATGGCTACTGTATCATAATGTAAAGTGGAATTTGTTTAAGGTAGTTTAATGTTAGCAATTGTTTATCCAACACAATGTTACTATTAAAACATGTTAAGACTTGACATCCAGTATGTAGAACGCCCCCCTCCTACACACCCTCACTCATTCCAATGTGAATATGTATAAGGGTAGTAAAAATACCGGATCACATGCCCGGGAAAAGAAAATCCCGTCCTGTCTTTATACAATCATGGATCCACCACTTTGTAGTCAATAACATTATCAGGGTGTTCAGGTTCTCTACGGAAGAGAGGACAGGGTTTTCTCAAGAGTAGTGTGATTGGGGACTGGCTCAAGACCGTTCTGCCTTCTTGTGTTATTATCTTTTGTTCTGTAAGACTTTAGAGCATGAGCCAAGTCCTTCATTCATATTTACCCGCTTCTCCCTCAGTCAACAGGTCAACATGATTTATAAAATATTGTACTTTTCTGTATCCGCAATGCCCAGTCCACATTAAGTCAATCAAAAAACCTATTTATTACCTCTGTCCTTATCTATCAGTTATGAATAAACGCCATTACCTTGGTCTCAAAAGAATCCAGGAACTATTTAAATTAGTACTAATTTCAGGTGTCAAGACTTGTACACTATCAACAAAATAAATGATATTTTCTTAAGAGTTTTTTATTATGGCAACGGTATTAATATAACTCAAACATATTGTTGATTGTTGAATTCAGTTTTGATTCGTTTTGTTATTGGTATTCATTCAACATTATGTTGCTATCATAACAGATTGAGACTCTTTACATCGGCTCTCGTGATCTCGGTGAACGTCCCTCTGCATCACGTGATATCGCTCAGTTCATCTGTAAGATGACTCATCTGAAGAAGCTGACACTCCGCGGTCAGTATCACGATGACTTCTACTCAACATCGTCATCGATGGCATCATCTGCAAAGGTATTGATTTGATTGTATTTTGTTGGACTCTTAACAAATCACTACATGTTTTTGTTATACTGGAGTTGTACTCTGTACCTTTATAGTCAAACGCAAGTGTAGAATTTTACTCTCCCTATTGGTACACCGTTAAGAGCAGGTACGAAAAATTGATCGTTTCTGGAAGTGGATGATTAAAGTAAGGGCTACGGAATTGCTCATGGAAAGAATTGCTCATGGAAAGAGTGCCATTTCAATTGTGAATGCTGATGGGACTAAATATTTAAATTTAAAAACCTACAAAAATGAAAAATCGAATCTCTTTGTCCCAGTTTTATATTATTTTTGTCACTCTTTTGAAATTGCAAAGTGTTCCATGTTTATTTGTTTTCACACTTTTGTGCTATGTCAAATTAGTTTTTCAAAGTACTATTTAAATCGAATGTCATAATAACGTCTTGCATAATTATTAAGGATGGCTACCGTATCATGATGTAAAGTGGAATCTGTTTAAGGTAGTTTAATGTTAGCAATTGTTTATCCAACACAATGTTACTATTAAAACAGGTTAAGACTTGACAGCCGGTATGTAGAACGCCCCCCTCCTACACACCCTCACTCATTCCAATGTGAATATGTATAAGGGTCAGAAAAAATACCGGATCACATGCCCGGTAAAAGAAAATCCCGTCCTGTCTTTATACAATCATGGATCCACCACTTTGTAGTCAATAACATTATAAGGGTGTTCAGGTTCTCTACGGAAGAGAGGACAGGGTTTTCTCAAGAGTAGTGTGATTGGGGACTGGCTCAAGACCGTTCTGCCTTCTTGTGTTATTATCTTTTGTTCTGTAAGACTTTAGAGCATGAGCCAAGTCCTTCATTCATATTTACCCGCTTCTCCCTCAGTCAACAGGTCAACATGATTTATAAAATATTGTATTTTTCTGTATCCGCAATGCCCAGTCCACAGTGAGTCAATAAAAAAACCTATTAATTGCCTCTGTCCTTATCTATCAGTTATGAATAAACGCCATTACCTTGGTCTCAAAAAAATCCAGGAACTATTTAAATTAGTACTTTAATTTCAGGTGTCAAGACTTGTACACTATCAACAAAATAAATGATATTGTCTTAAGAGTTTTTTATTGTGGCAACGGTATTAATATAACTCAAACATATTGTTGATTGTTGAATTCAGTTTTGATTGTTTTGTTATTGGTATTCATTCAACATAATGTTGCTATCATAACAGATTGAGACTATTTACATCTACTCTGCTGATCTCAGTGAACGTCCCTCTGCATCACGTGATCTCGCTCAGTTCATATGTAAGATGACTCATCTGAAGGACCTGAGACTCCGCGGTCAGTGTCACGATGACTTCTATTCAACATCGTCATCGATGGCATCATCTGCAAAGGTATTGATTTGATCGTATTTTGTTGGACTCTTACTAAATCACTACATGTTTTTGTTATACTGGAGGTGTACTCTTAACCTTTATAGTCAAACGTAAGTGTACAATTTTACTCTCCCTATTGGTACACCGTTAATAGCAGGTACGAAAAGTTGATCGTTTCTGGAAGTGGATGATAAAAGTAAACTTTCTGTCATAATATAAAAACAGAATGAAAATTATTAGAGTAATAGTGCATAATATACATTTCATATGACAATTCGAAGGGCTACGGAATTGCTCATGGAAAGACTGCCATTTCAATTGTGAATGCTGATGGGACTAAATATTTAAATTTAAAAACCTACAAAAATGAAAAATCGAATCTCTTTGTCCCAGTTTTATATTATTTTTGTCACTCTTTTGAAATTGCAAAGTGTTCCATGTTTATTTGTTTTCACACTTTTGTGCTATGTCAAATTAGTTTTTCAAAGTACTATTTAAATCGAATGTCATAATAACGTATTGCATAATTATTAAGGATGGCTACTGTATCATGATGTAAAGTGGAATCTGTTTAAGGTAGTTTAATGTTAGCAATTGTTTATCCAACACAATGTTACTATTAAAACAGGTTAAGACTTGACAGCCGGTATGTAGAACGCCCCCCTCCTACACACCCTCACTCATTCCAATGTGAATATGTATAAGGGTCAGTAAAAATACCGGATCACATGCCCGGGAAAAGAAAATCCCGTCCTGTCTTTATACAATCATGGATCCACCACTTTGTAGTCAATAACATTATAAGGGTGTTCAGGTTCTCTACGGAAGAGAGGACAGGGTTTTCTCAAGAGTAGTGTGATTGGGGACTGGCTCAAGACCGTTCTGCCTTCTTGTGTTATTATCTTTTGTTCTGTAAGACTTTAGAGCATGAGCCAAGTCCTTCATTCATATTTACCCGCTTCTCCCTTAGTCAACAGGTCAACATGATTTATAAAATATTGTATTTTTCTGTATCCGCAATGCCCAGTCCACAGTGAGTCAATAAAAAAACCTATTAGTTACCTCTGTCCTTATCTATCACTTATGAATAAACGCCATTACCTTGGTCTCAAAAAAATCCAGGAACTATTTAAATTAGTACTTTAATTTCAGGTGTCAAGACTTGTACACTATCAACAAAATAAATGATATTGTCTTAAGAGTTTTTTTATTGTGGCAACGGTATTAATATAACTAAAACATATTGTTGATTGTTGAATTCAGTTTTGATTGTTTTGTTATTGGTATTCATTCAACATTATGTTGCTATCATAACAGATTGAGACTCTTTACATCGACTCTGCTGATCTCGGTGAACGTCCCTTTGCATCCCGTGATCTCGCTCAGTTCATATGTCAGATGACCCATCTGAAGAAGCTGACACTCGACGGTCAGTATCACGATGACCTCTACTCAACATCGTCATCGATGGCATCATCTGCAAAGGTATTGATTTGATTGTATTTTGTTGGACTCTTAACAAATCACTACATGTTTTTGTTATACTGGAGGTGTACTCTTTACCTTTATAGTCAAACGTAAGTGTAGAATTTTACTCTCCCTATTGGTACACCGTTAAGAGTAGGTACGAAAAGTTGATCGTTTCTGGAAGTGGATGATTAAAGTAAATTTTCTGTCATAATATAAAAACAGAATGAAAATTATTAGAGTAATAGTGCATAATATACATTTCATATGACAATTCGAAGGGCTATGGAATTGCTCATGGAAAGACTGCCATTTCAATTGTGAATGCTGATGGGACTAAATATTTAAATTTAAAAACCTACAAAAATGAAAAATCGAATCTCTTTGTCCCAGTTTTTATTATTTTTGTCACTCTTTTGAAATTGCAAAGTTTTCCATGTTTATTTGTTTTCACACTTTTGTGCTATGTCAAATTAGTTTTTCAAAGTACTATTTAAATCGAATGTCAGAATAACGTATTGCATAATTATTAAGGATGGCTACTGTATCATGATGTAAAGTGGAATCTGTTTAAGGTAGTTTAATGTTAGCAATTGTTTATCCAACACAATGTTACTATTAAAACAGGTTAAGACTTGACATCCAGTATATAGAACGCCCCCCTCCTACACACCCTCACTCATTCCAATGTGAATATGTATAAGGGTCAGTAAAAATACCGGATCACATGCCCGGTAAAAGAAAATCCCGTCCTGTCTTTATACAATCATGGATCCACCACTTTGTAGTCAGTAACATTATAAGAGTGTTCAGGTTCTCTATGGAAGAGAGGACAGGGTTTTCTCAAGAGTAGTGTGATTGGGGACTGGCTCAAGACCGTTCTGCCTTCTTGTGTTATTATCTTTTGTTCTGTAAGACTTTAGAGCATGAGCCAAGTCCTTCATTCATATTTACCCGCTTCTCCCTCAGTCAACAGGTCAACATGATTTATAAAATATTGTATTTTTCTGTATCCGCAATGCCCAGTCCACAGTGAGTCAATAAAAAAACCTATTAATTACCTCTGTCCTTATCTATCAGTTATGAATAAACGCCATTACCTTGGTCTCAAAAAAATCCAGGAACTATTTAAATTAGTACTTTAATTTCAGGTGTCAAGACTTGTACACTATCAACAAAATAAATGATATTGTGTTAAAGAGTTTTTTATTGTGGCAACGGTATTAATATAACTCAAACATATTGTTGATTGTTGAATTCAGTTTTGATTGTTTTGTTATTGGTATTCATTCAACATTATGTTGCTATCATAACAGATTGAGACTCTTTACATCGACTCTGCTGATCTCGGTGAACGTCCCTTTGCATCCCGTGATCTCGCTCAGTTCATATGTAAGATGACCCATCTGAAGAAGCTGACACTCGACGGTCAGTATCACGATGACCTCTACTCAACATCGTCATCGATGGCATCATCTGCAAAGGTATTGATTTGATTGTATTTTGTTGGACTCTTAACAAATCACTACATGTTTTTGTTATACTGGAGGTGTACTCTTTACCTTTATAGTCAAACGTAAGTGTAGAATTTTACTCTCCCTATTGGTACACCGTTAAGAGTAGGTACGAAAAGTTGATCGTTTCTGGAAGTGGATGATTAAAGTAAATTTTCTGTCATAATATAAAAACAGAATGAAAATTATTAGAGTAATAGTGCATAATATACATTATATATGACAATTCGAAGGGCTACGGAATTGCTCATGGAAAGACTGCCATTTCAATTGTGAATGCTGATGGGACTAAATATTTAAATTTAAAAACCTACAAAAATGAAAAATCGAATCTCTTTGTCCCAGTTTTTATTATTTTTGTCACTCTTTTGAAATTGCAAAGTGTTCCATGTTTATTTGTTTTCACACTTTTGTGCTATGTCAAATTAGTTTTTCAAAGTACTATTTAAATCGAATGTCAGAATAACGTATTGCATAATTATTAAGGATGGCTACTGTATCATGATGTAAAGTGGAATCTGTTTAAGGTAGCTTAATGTTAGCAATTGTTTATCCAACACAATGTTACTATTAAAACAGGTTAAGACTTGACAGCCGGTATATAGAACGCCCCCCCCCTCCTACACACCCTCACTCATTCCAATGTGAATATGTATAAGGGTCAGTAAAAATACCGGATCACATGCCCGGTAAAAGAAAATCCCGTCCTGTCTTTATACAATCATGGATCCACCACTTTGTAGTCAATAACATTATAAGAGTGTTCAGGTTCTCTATGGAAGAGAGGACAGGGTTTTCTCAAGAGTAGTGTGATTGGGGACTTGCTCAAGACCGTTCTGCCTTCTTGTGTTATTCTCTTTTGTTCTGTAAGACTTTAGAGCATGAGCCAAGTCCTTCATTCATATTTACCCGCTTCTCCCTCAGTCAACAGGTCAACATGATTTATAAAATATTATACTTTTCTTTATCCGCAATCCCCAGTCCACAGTGAGTCAATCAAAAACCTATTAATTACCTCTGTCCTTATCTATCAGTTATGAATAAACGCCATTACCTTGGTCTCAAAAGAATCCAGGATCGATTTAAATTAGTACTAATTTCAGGTGTCAAGACTTGTACACTATCAACAAAATAAATGATATTGTGTTAAGAGTTTTTTATTGTGGCAACGGTATTAATATAACTCAAACATCGAAAATAATATCGCTAGTGATATTCGTTCGTCTCGCAATGTGGTCAATACGGAATCTAAAAGTTCACGACGTTTCGTGCGCTATCTGCAACACTTCGTAAGGTGATAAAAACTGCTGTAAGCAAGGGTCTTTTATACTTTACAGGAGGACCGGCGGAGCGGTCTATAATTCGATCACCGTGAGTGTCGACCAATAGGCATTGTGCGTTATTGTTCCAATTATCGATCGAATTATAGACCGCTCCGCCGGTGTGACCGCGCCGTTTGTCCTACCAGTTTCGTTTGTCCGTCGGACACAATATGCGGGTTTTCTGCTCGCACGGATCGTCCGAGGGACGAGGGACGATCCGTGCGGTTTGCTTTCCGCACATTTTGTGCCCCATTGTTTTACGTGTATATTTGATAAAAGGAAGCAACTCGGCAAATCAATGTATTTAGACTCATTGTAAATCATGTGGTTGACATTTTTTCTAGAAATTACATAATAATAATTCTACCATTTTTTTTTAAAGCAAATGGGCCAGTCCTTTTGAAAGTAGAAGTGAATATTTTCTTTAGAACCTTTATTTTATGAAGGCATACTCGTGATATCGGCCCCACAACTGTTGTAATCGATTATACTTTTGTACGTGGCTTCGTACATCAACCAACTCACTACTAGTATATACTCGTCATAGAGGCCCCGCTCCAAGTATTTGGGGGCGTTTCGAGGTTTAATGAAGGAGTTAAATGGGAAATAAAAGTGATTAAAAATGGGGTTGAAAGTGAGTGGGGGAGGCTAGATTATTTAAGATAAGGTAGAGCGTAGCACAAATTGGCGGATGCTCAGGGGGTAGGGGCATTTAATTACGGTCAGATGAGCATATTTTAATACATTATTCATGACACTGGCAGCTAGGTCACTAATTGGCGTATGGTCCAAGGGGCGAAGTCTCCGGAAGCGCAGGGGTTTTAGGCATTAAAATTAAGGTCAGATTAGCATCCAGGGGCCAGCCTTAGGTCCCAAGGTGGAGTCCAGGGGGCAGAGCCCCCGGAAGCTCAGGGGTATGGGCATTTAATTACGGTCACATGAGCATACTTTCTTTTCTATTTCTTTCTATTTAATTCTCTTTAATATACTTTTTCAAAAGTGGGGGGGGGGGGGGGGGGCAGAGGCAAAGGTCTTTCTCCGCGATCCACATCTTGTTTGCAGGAAAATTGCAACTGATATCCCTTCTTTTCTTTTCTTCTTTTGTTTCTTTCCCTTTCCTTCCTTCTCTCTTGTTTTGCGGGGGGGGGGGGGAGGCAACAGCATGGGCGGCAAGGCCCTGTCAGACCCCTTTTTCTTTTCTTCTTCCTTTCCCCTTCTCTCTTCTTTCCCTTTCCCTTCTTTTCCTTCTTTCTCTCTCTCTCTCTCTTTTTGTTTGCTGAGGGGCCAGGGAGGGCAGGCGAAGGCCTTTCGCCCCCGATCCACACCGCGTTGGTGGGAAAAATCACAATTGATCTCCTTACCTTTCTTTTCTTTCCCTCCCCCTTCTCTTCTTTTCTCTCTCTTTTAAATTTGCTGTAGAAGGGGGGGGGGGGGGGAGACAAGGGCCATTTGCCTCCCCCGATCCCCAACTTGTTGGCAGGAAAACTGCAACTGATATCCCCCTTCTTTTCTTTTCTTCCCTTTATCTCGTCTTTTCCCGTTTTTCTTTCCCTTCTCTTCCTTCTCTCTTTCTTTTTGCTGGGGGGGGGGGGGGGGCAACAGCCTGGGAGGTAAAGCCCTTTCGCCCCCCTCCCGATCTTCTTTTTTCCCCCTTTTTCTTCTTCTTCTTCCTTTCCCTTTGTCTCTTCTTTCCCTTTCCCTTTTAATATTTTCCTTCCTTCTCTCTCTCTCTCTCTCTCTCTCTCTCTCTCTCTTTTGCCAGGGGGGGGGGGGGAGGGGGGGGGGGGGTGGCGAAGGCATTTCGCCCCCGATCTCCTTTGTTCCCCCCTTTTCTTTTCTTCTTCCTCTTCTTCCTTTCCCTTACTCTCCACTTTACCTTCTCTCTCTCTCTCTTTCTTCATTTTTTGTTGGCGGTTGGGGTTCAAGGCCCTCCCCTGAATGAGGATGGCAATTGTATCATGCTGTAATGTTAAAAGCTGTTTTTAAGTAGTGTAATGTCAGCAATTGTTTATCCAATACAAAGTTACTCTTATAAAAGATGTATACTTGGCATCCAGTATCTGGATCGCCCCCCTTCCTATCCACCAGCCCTAACTAATTCCAAAGTTTGAATGAAGTAGTGTCAGTGAAATTACCGGATCATAATAATTATGACCGAGCGATGAAATCCCCTCTTCTCTTACAATCATGGATCCACCACATAATGTAGTCGATAACATAATCAGAGTGTTCTAATTTTCCCCCATTAAAAGCACACGTTTTCCATGTATAGAGTAGTGTGGTTGAGGACTGGTTTGTGACCGTTATACCTTCTTGTTTTTAAACCCCTCGTCGACGAGGTCGGAGGCGATATGCATGTAGTAAAGCTGCCGCACGTCCTTTCTTCTGTCCTTCCGTAAAAAAAATCTGGTTTCTGTTTGATAACTTTAATAATAATTAACGGATTTTAATAAAATTTGATATGAAGGTACATGGTATTTAAATACAGCCTATCTTCAATTTCGGAGTATGTAGATCAAAGGACAAAGGTCATAGCTCATTAAATTTGCGAAAATGCCTACTTAGATATACGCGAAAATGTTTGTTTTTAATCCAATAACGTAAGTAATGTTGTTGAGTAAACACGTCAAAGCTCAAAGGTCACAGTCCATTAAATATGCAAAAATTGCTCAATTAAGGAAATTGTACCCGGCGAGGGGATGCTACGCTTTGCGTAGACTTCTTCTCTTTTGTTCCGTTAGAATTTAGATCAGGAGCCAACCCACTACTCCCTCAGTCAACAGGTCAACATGATCTAGAAAATATTATAATTTACTTTATCCGCAATGCCTACAGTATCGATGGGATTAATAAAAAACAAACTAATCACCTCTGTCATTATCTATCAGTTACATGTATGAATAAACACCATTGAATCGGTCTCAAAAGAAGCCAAGAACTATTGAAAGTGGTACTAATTTCAGGTGTCAAGATTTGTCAGTTATACACAAAATAAATGATATTGTGTTAGGAGCTTATCTAACACAATGTTACTATACGGCAACGATGTTAATACAATTTTTATTGAATTGTTGATTCGCGAATATAGTGTTATTTGGTTGTTATTAGTATTCATTAAACATAATGTTGCTATCATAACAGATTGAGACTCTTTACATCGACTCTGATGATCTCGGTAAACGTCCCTCTGCATCACGTGATCTCGCTCAGTTCATCTGTAAGATGACTCATCTGGAGGACCTGACACTCCGCGGTCGGTATCACGATGACTTCTACTCAACATCGTCATCGATGGCATCATCCGCAAAGGTATTGATTTGATCGTATATTTCAGGGCTCTTAACAAATCACTTCATGTTTTGGATATACTAGAGTTGTACTCTTTCCTTTATAGTCAAATGCAAGTGTACGATTTTACTCTCCCTATTTGTTACACCGTTAAAGGTACTATGTCCGATTTGCAGGCCCCAAAAATGAAAAAGTTAAATTCCAACTGCATTTGAAAGCTAATACTAATTTAGAACTTCCCTTAAAAAGGTGGGGCTTGAAAATGTCTTCAAGTGGGAAAATAACGACTATTAGTTGTCAAATCGACTTTAGGGCTATAGAGCCCAAAAGTAATAGTCTTGATTTTCAGACAAGTGTACCGAATGGTCATATGTTTTATGTGCGCAAAGATTCAATCAGTTTAATCTTGGCCATCACAAGAAGTGGGTTATTGATGTAGACAAATGCTCATGTACCCTTTACAACTCTTTTCATGTATGTTATTACCAAAGAAGAAAAAAAGCCAGTCAGTCACTCAATAGTGTCTGACAGTGAAGTCTAGCAAGTAAACGGGTTTCCTTGCATAATTTGAATATGAGGACACTGCTAACGTTTAAATTTCACAGATAGGACATACATGACATATTCATAATTCCTGCAAAGTTCTACAGAATTTGAGGTTGGCTGCAAAAGGGACATAGTACCTTTAAGAGCAGGTCCGAAAAGTTGATCGTTTCAGGAAGTGGATGCGAAAAGTGAATTTCTGTCGTAATACAAAATCAGAGGGAAGATTTTAAGATCAATAGTGAATATATAAACCATATCTTAAATTTCATATGACTATTCGGGGTGCTATGGAATTGCTGATATTTTAAATTTCATATGACTATTCGGGGTGCTATGGAATTGCTGATATATCTTAAACATAATAAATGTAATTATGATGAGAGATTTTCATTGTGGCAACGATATTATTACAATTTAAAACAAGTTGTTGATTCTTGAATTTAGTTTATTTGGTTGTTATTAGTATTCATTCAACATAATGTTGCTATCATAACAGATTGAGACTCTTAAGATTAACTCTGATGATCTCGGTGAACGTCCCTCGGCATCACGTGATCTCGTTCAGTTCATCTCTAAGATGACTCATCTGAAGGACCTGACACTCCGCGGTCGGTATCACGATTACTTCTATTCAACATCGTCATCGCAAGCATCATCTGCAAAGGTATTCATTTGATCGTATATTTAAGGAATCTTAGCAAATCACTACAATTTTTGGATATACTAGAGGGGTACATTTTCCTTTATAGTCAAACGCAAGTGTACAAGTTTACTCTCCCCATTGGTACACCGTTAAGAGCAGGTACAAAAAGTTGATCGTTTCAGGAAGTGGATGCGAAAAGTGAATTTCTGTCATAATACAAAATCAGAGGAAAGATTTTAAGATCAATAGTGAATATAAAAACCATATTTTAAATTTCAAATGACTATTCGGGGTGCTATGAAATTGCTGATATTTTAAATTTAATATGACTTTTCGGGGTGCTTTGGAATTGCTGATATTTTAAATTTCATATGACTATTCGGGGTGCTATGGAATGGCTGATATTTGAAATTTCATATGACTATTCGTGGTGCTTTGGAATTGCTGATATATAGAGAGACAACCATTTCAACTGCGAATGCTGATGATGCTAAATATTTAAATTAAAAAACCTAAACAAATGAAAAATGGAATCTCTTTGTCCCCGTTTGAATTATATCTGAAACCCTTTGGAAACTGCAAAGTTTTCTATCTACATTTTATTTCACACTTTTCTGTTATGTACAATAATTTTTTTCAACATTTTTTTACTAAATCTCATTTCAGAATAACGTATAGCTTTTGTAAAATAATGAAGATGGCAACTCAAGAATGATGTAATGTTTAAAATTATTTTTAAGAAGTGTTATGTCAGCAATTGTTTATCCAATACAATGTAACTATTATAACAGATTAAGACTTGACATCCAATATGTGGATCGTCCACCCCCCCCCTCCTCCTCCGCCACCCCTCATTCATTCCGACGTTTAGATGTAGTAGGATCAGTAAAATTACCGGATCATAATAATTATGACTGCGGGATGAAAAATCACCTCTTCTCTTACAACTATGGATCCACCACATAATGTATTCGATAACATAATCAGGTTGTTCTGATTTCCCCCGATTAAAAGCACACATTTTCTATGTAGAGTAGTGTAGTTGAGGACTGGTGTGTGACCGTTATGTCTTCTTGTTTTATTAATCCCCTCGTCGACGAAGTCGGAGGCTATATACATAGCGAGCTTTCGAGTTTAGGCACCCGACGTCGGCTACTACGCGTGACGTCATATTTATCCCCTGCGCATGCGTGAGCTTCTGGGCCCACGTTCCCTTCCAAATCACCCGACGGGAGTCGGGGGCAATTTATGTGAATCGACGTCGCCGTGAAAACGTCAACGTGAGTGTAGTTTCATCACCTTCTTTTATGTTATTCTTTGTTTTTATTATTCTATTATTTCCTCTTGCTATCTTTTGTTTCTTCTTCTATCACCTTTTCTTATGTTATTCTTTGTTTTATCATTCTATCACTTTCTCTTTCTGTCTTTCCTTATGTTATTCTTTGTTTCTTTCTTCTGTCACCTTCTCTTATGTTATTCTTTGTTTTTATCATTCTATCACTCCCTCTTTCTATCTTTCCTTATGTTATTCTTTGTTCTTCCTTCTATCACCTTCTCTTATGTTATTCTTTGTTTTCATTATTCTATCACTTTCTGTCTCTCCTTATTTTATTCTTTGTTTCTTCCTTCTATCACCTTGTCTTATGTTATTCTTTGTTTTTATCATTCTATCACTTCCTCTTTCTATCTTTTCTTATGTTATTCTTTGTTTCTTCCTTCTATCACCTTGTCTTATGTTATTCTTTGTTTTCATTATTCTATCACTTTCTGTCTCTCCTTATGTTATTCTTTGTTTCTTCCTTTTATCACCTTGTCTTATGTTATTCTTTGTTTTTATCATTCTATCACTTCCTCTTTCTATCTTTTCTTATGTTATTCTTTGTTTCTTTCTTCTGTCACCTTCTCTTATGTTATTCTTTGTTTTTATCATACTATCACTCCCTCTTTCTATCTTTCCTTATGTTATTCTTTGTTTCTTCCTTCTATCACCTTTTTACTATGTTATTCTTTGTTTTATCATTCTATCACTTTCTCTTTCTGTCGTTCCTTATGTTATTCTTTGTTTCTTTCTTCTGTCACTTTCTCTTATGTTATTCTTTGTTTTCATTATTCTATCACTTTCTGTCTCTCCTTATGTTATTCTTTGTTTCTTCCTTCTATCACCTTCTCTTATGTTATTCTTTGTTTTTATCATTCTATCACTCCCTCTTTCTGTCTTTCCTTATGTTATTCTTTGTTTCTTCCTTTTATCACCTTCTCTTATGTTATTCTTTGTTTTTATCATTCTATCACTCCCTCTTTCTATCTTTCCTTATGTTATTCTTTGTTCTTCCTTCTATCACCTTCTCTTATGTTATTCTTTGTTTTCATTATTCTATCACTTTCTGTCTCTCCTTATTTTATTCTTTGTTTCTTCCTTCTATCACCTTGTCTTATGTTATTCTTTGTTTTTATCATTCTATCACTTCCTCTTTCTATCTTTTCTTATGTTATTCTTTGTTTCTTCCTTCTATCACCTTGTCTTATGTTATTCTTTGTTTTCATTATTCTATCACTTTCTGTCTCTCCTTATGTTATTCTTTGTTTCTTCCTTTTATCACCTTGTCTTATGTTATTCTTTGTTTTTATCATTCTATCACTTCCTCTTTCTATCTTTTCTTATGTTATTCTTTGTTTCTTTCTTCTGTCACCTTCTCTTATGTTATTCTTTGTTTTTATCATACTATCACTCCCTCTTTCTATCTTTCCTTATGTTATTCTTTGTTTCTTCCTTCTATCACCTTTTTACTATGTTATTCTTTGTTTTATCATTCTATCACTTTCTCTTTCTGTCGTTCCTTATGTTATTCTTTGTTTCTTTCTTCTGTCACTTTCTCTTATGTTATTCTTTGTTTTCATTATTCTATCACTTTCTGTCTCTCCTTATGTTATTCTTTGTTTCTTCCTTCTATCACCTTCTCTTATGTTATTCTTTGTTTTTATCATTCTATCACTCCCTCTTTCTGTCTTTCCTTATGTTATTCTTTGTTTCTTCCTTTTATCACCTTCTCTTATGTTATTCTTTGTTTTTATCATTCTATCACTTTCTGTCTCTCCTTATGTTATTCTTTGTTTCTTCCTTCTATCACCTTCTCTTATGTTATTCTTTGTTTTATCATTCTATCCCTTTCTGTCTCTCCTTATGTTATTCTTTGTTTCTTCCTTCTATCACCTTCTCTTATGTTATTCTTTGTTTTATCATTCTATCCCTTTCTGTCTCTCCTTATGTTATTCTTTGTTTCTTCCTTCTATCACCTTCTCTTATGTTATTCTTTGTTTTTATCATTCTATCACTCCCTCTTTCTGTCTTTCCTTATGTTATTCTTTGTTTCCTCCTTTTATCACCTTCTCTTATGTTATTCTTTGTTTTTATCATTCTATCACTTTCTCTTTCTGTCTTTCCTTATGTTATTCTTTGTTTCTTCCTTCTATCACCTTCTCTTATGTTATTCTTTGTTTTTATCATTCTATCACTTTCTGTCTCTCCTTATGTTATTCTTTGTTTCTTCCTTCTATCACCTTCTCTTATGTTATTCTTTGTTTTTATCATTCTATCACTCCCTCTTTCTGTCTTTCCTTATGTTATTCTTTGTTTCTTCCTTTTATCACCTTCTCTTATGTTATTCTTTGTTTTTATCATTCTATCACTTTCTGTCTCTCCTTATGTTATTCTTTGTTTCTTCCTTCTATCACCTTCTCTTATGTTTTGTTTTGTTATTATCATTCTATCACTCCCCCTTTCTATCTTTCCTTATGTTATTCTTTGTTTCTTCCTTCTATCACCTTCTCTTATGTTATTCTTTGTTTTTATCATTCTGTCACCATCTCTTTCTGTCTTTCCTTATGTTATTCTTTGTTTCTTCCTTCTATCACCTTCTCTTATGTTATTCTTTGTTTTTATCATTCCATCACTTTCTCTTTCTGTCTTTCCTTATGTTATTCTTTGTTTCTTCCTTCTATCACCTTCTCTTATGTTATTCTTTGTTTTTATCATTCTATCACTTTCTGTCTCTCCTTATGTTATTCTTTGTTTTCATTATTCTATCACTTTCTCTTATGTTATTCTTTGTTTTTATCATTCTATCACCTCCTCTTTCTATCTTTCCTTATGTTATTCTTTGTTTCTTCCTTCTATCACCTTCTCTTATGTTATTCTTTGTTTTTATCATTCTATCACTTTCTGTCTCTCCTTATGTTATTCTTTGTTTTCATTATTCTATCACTTTCTCTTATGTTATTCTTTGTTTTTATCATTCTATCACTTCCTCTTTCTATCTTTCCTTATGTTATTCTTTGTTTCTTCCTTCTATCACCTTCTCTTATGTTATGTTTTGTTTTATCATTTTAACTTTCTATTTCTGTCATCCTCATGTTATTCTTCGTATCAGATTTTGGCGCACTGATTTTATTACCTGATTTAATCACCTGATCTAAAAAAATTGGTCACGTGACCGACGCAAGCACCGACGTGAAAAATCGAAAGCACTGCCGGGAAGGGAACGGACGTGAGTTGCGCAACGTCTCCACGCTCCAGTACCTCGTAGTAGCCGACGTCGGGTGCCTAAATCGAAAGCTCGCTCATGTAGTTAAGCTGCCGCACGTCCTTCCTCCTGTCCTTCCGTAAAAAAAATCTGGTTTCTGTTTGATAACTTTAATAATAATTAACGGATTTTAATAAAATTTGATATGAAGGCACTTGGTATTAAAATACAGCCATGTCTAATTTTGGAGTATGTAGGTCAAAGGACAAAGGTCATAACTCCTTAAATATGCGAAAATGCCTACTTAGATATACACGAAAATGTTTTTTTTTAATCCAATAACGTAAGTAATGTTGTTGAGTAAACACGTCAAAGCTCAAAGGTCACAGCCCATTAAATAGGTAAAAAATGCTCAATTGAGGAAATTGTACCTGGCGAGGGGAGGCTACGCTTTTGTTCCGTTAGAATTTAGATCAGGAGCCAACCCACTGCTCCCTCAGTCAACAGGTCAACATGATCTAGAAAATATTATAATTTATTTTATCCGCAATGCCTACAGTCTCGATGGGATCAATCAAAAACAAACTAATCATCTCTGTCATTATCTATCAGTTACATGTATGAATAAACACCATTGAATCGGTCTCAAAAGAAGCCAAGAACTATTGAAAGTGGTACTAATTTCAGGTGTCAAGATTTGTATATCATACACAAAATAAATGATATTGTGTTAGGAGTTTATCTAACACAATGTTACTATACGGCAACGATATTAATATAATTTTTAATGAATTGTTGATTCTCGAATATAGTTTTATTTGGTTGTTATTAGTATTCATTCAACATAATGTTGCTATCATAACAGATTGAGACTCTTGGGATCTACTCTAAAGATCTCAATAAACGTCCCTCTGCATCACGCGATGTCGCTCAGTTCATCTGTAAGATGACTCATCTGAAGAAGCTGTCACTCGACGGTCGGTATCACGATGACTTCTATTCAACATCGTCATCGCAAGCATCATCTGCAAAGGTATTCATTTGATCGTATATTTAAGGAATCTTAGCAAATCACTACATTTTTGGATATACTAGAGGTGTACATTTTCCTTTATAGTCAAACGCAAGTGTACAAGTTTACCCTCCCCATTGGTACACCGTTAAGAGCAGGTACAAAAAGTTGATCGTTTCAGGAAGTGGATGCGAAAAGTGAATTTCTGTCATAATACAAAATCAGAGGAAAGATTTTAAGATCAATAGTGAATATATAAACCATATTTTAAATTTCATATGACTATTGGGGGTGCTATGGAATTGCTGATATTTGAAATTTCATATGACTATTCGGGGTGCTTTGGAATTGCTGATATTTTAAATTTCATATGACTATTCGGGGTGCTATGGAATGGCTGATATTTTAAATTTCATATGACTATTCGTGGTGCTTTGGAATTGCTGATATATATAGAGAGACAACCATTTCAACTGCGAATGCTGATGATGCTAAATATTTAAATTAAAAAACCTAAACAAATGAAAAATGGAATCTCTTTGTCCCCGTTTGAATTATATCTGAAACCCTTTGGAAACTGCAAAGTTTTCTATCTACATTTTATTTCACACTTTTCTGTTATGTACAATCATTTTTTTTAAATATTTTTTTTTTACTAAATCTCATTTCAGAATAACGTATAGCTTTTGTAGAATAATGAGGATGGCAACTCAAGAATGATGTAATGTTTAAAATTATTTTTAAGTAGTGTTATGTCAGCAATTGTTTATCCAATACAATGTAACTATTATAACAGATTAAGACTTGACATCCAATATGTGGATCGTCCACCCCCCCCCCCTCCCCTCCTCCTCCGCCACCCCTCATTCATTCCGACGTTTACATGTAGTAGGATCAGTAAAATTACCGGATCATAATTAATCATAAGTATTCATTCAACATAATGTTGCTATCATAACAGATTGAGACTCTTGGGATCTACTCTGAAGATCTCAATAAACGTCCCTCTGCATCACGCGATGTCGCTCAGTTCATCTGTAAGATGACTCATCTGAAGGACCTGACACTCCGCGGTCAGTATCACGATGACTTCTACTCAACATCGTCATCGATGGCATCATCTGCAAAGGTATTGATTTGATTGTATATTGTTGGACTCTTAACAAATCACTTCATGTTTTGTTATACTGGAGGTGTACTCTTTCCTTTATAGTCAATCGCAAGTGTACAATATTTTACTCTCCCTGTATTAGTATACCGTTAGGAGCAAGCAGATAGGACTTGGCATCCAGTATGTGGACCACCTCCCCCCCCCCCTCTTTCCCATCCACCAGCTCTTATGCTAACTCATTCCAACATTTAAATGAAGTAGGGTCAGTAAAATTACCGGATCATATGACCGAGGGATGAAATCCCCTCTTCTCTTACAATCATGGATCCATCACTATAATGTAATCGATAACATAATCAGAGTGTTCTGATTTTTCCCCGATTAAGAGCACACGTTTTCCTTGAAGATTAGTGTGGTTGAGGACTGGTTGGTGACCGCTCTGCCTTCTTGTTTAATTCTCTTTTGTTCTGTAAGACTTTAGATCATGAGCCAAGTCCTTCATTCATAATTTCCCACTACTCCCCCAGTCAACAGGTCAACTTGATCTAGGAAATATTATCATTTTCTTTATCCTTAATGCCACAGTCCCATTGGATCAACCAAAAGCTTATTGATCACCTCTGTCATTATCTATCAGTTATGAATAAAGACCATTATATCGGTCTCGAAAGAATCCAGGAACTATTGAAATTAGTACTAATTTTAGGTGTCAAGACTTGTACATCATAAACAAAATAAATTTCGTTGTGTTAAGATTTTTCATAGTGGCGACGATATTAATATAGCAGAATTTTGAATATAGTTTTATTTGGTTGTTATTAGTAATAATTCAACATAATGTTGCTATCATAACAGATTGAGACTCTTAAAATCCACTGTGATGATATCATTGAACGGCCCTCGGCATCACGTGATCTTGCTCAATTCATCTGTAAGATAGCTCATCTGAAGGACCTGACACTCCGCGGTCAGTATCACGATGACTTCTACTCAACATCGTCATCGATGGCATCATCTGCAAAGGTATTGATTTGATCAAGGGGGATCCAGGGAGGAGCGGGCCTTGCCTCCCCCCGGCAACAAATACAAAATAAAATAAGCGAGAGAGAGAAGGAAAAGGAGGGGAAGAGGAGAGAAAGGAAAAGAAAGAAGAGGAAGACAAAATAAAAGGGGGAAAAGGAGATCGGGGTTGGGGGGGGCGAAAGGGCCCCCATCAACAAATAACAGAGAAGGAAGGATATGGAAAGAAAAAAGGAAAAAAATGAAAAAGAAGTAAGGTAGGGGAGATCAGATGCGATTTTTTTTTCCCCCAACAAGGTGTAAATCGAGGGGGGGATGTATTGTATTGTATTATTGTATTATTTATTCGGCACTTTCAAGAAATATAACAATTTAACAATATAAACATGGTAAATACAAAATTGGAATGACAAAAAATGTGCAAATACAAATTTTTGTAGCAATATTCAGAGTGCAAAAGATGGCGGCCATGGAAGAAGAGAGCAAACTTAATTACTGTAACCGTGAAGGTCCCTCCGCCCAACCAACTGATGCACTCAGGACAAATAAGACAGTAACAAATCAAGGATAAACAATAAAAATATAAAGAAAGGCGAGGCACGAGCATATGTAACGCCAACATAGAAATTATAGATAACATATTACAAATTTGCAATTTCAATAACATATTACAAATGTACAATTTCAATAACATAATCGCATTGACTCTCCATAGAAATATAATGTAACTAGCATGTTTAATATTTATACTGGGGTTTTCTCTACCTGATTTAATGCTATCAAAGTATTACATGTATATTAAATATCTTTAAAATAAAATGAAACTATTATCCGGCCTTATGACACATATCTGATTGATCACATATGATATAAATGAAATTGAAATTGAGATTATTGAATTAGAAATTGAGGTCCAACTGAGTGCAGAAGACTGTTAAAAAACATAGCATACGGACAATAAAGAGAGTAACAAATCAAGGATAAACAATAACATAAAAAAAGAAATGAGAGGAAAGAGCAAATGTAAGCCAATATAAAAATTAAGTACACATTATATACATGTATTAAATTGCACTGGCTTACGGATGGGGGTAGGGTGCCCCCCCCCCCAATGAAATGCAAACGTGGTTTATTTCTAATTCGATACCGGTGATGTACAAATGTTGCTGAAAAAACATAATTTTCCGAGATTTTTCCTCACTTTTTAGTAATTTATACTTTTGTATGCGTTTTTTTTGAGATGACAAATTCCTAAAATTACCGTCAGGCGAGAAATATGCTTATTTAAAGGCTTAAATGTCAGGGCCCGCGGAACGGCGGGGCTCGGGAGGTTCGAGCTTCCCCTCCCACTTTTTTGAAAATTTTTATTAAAGAGAAATAGAAAGAAAGAATAGTGACCTGCCAGTGTCTAAATATAATGAGGTATCAAAATATGCTCATCTGACCCTGTTTAAATCCGAAAAAACCCTGAGCTTCCGAGGGCTCTGCTCCCCGGATTCCACTTAGGGCCCTAAGGCGGGCCCCTAGATGCTCATCTGATGGTAATTTAATTCCTAAGACCCCTTAGTTTCAGGGGGCTCCGCCCCCTGGAACCCACGCCAATTAATATCATGCCAATGTCACAAATAAGGTATCAAAATATGCTCATCTGAAAATGTGGTGTGCATAGACAAACGCCATATTGTGAGAAGATATTCAACTCATCTGGTAACTTAACCAAACACATGATAACTCTGAATATAACTGTGTATTAAACTGTGATTTAAAAAGACGTTATCATGCACTGCTTTTCATGGTCTCAATTGTGTTAGTAGATGCCAGGAAAACATCACTTACGGGAGTAAAAAAAGAGCACCAAAAAAAAAAAAAAAAAATCGCCTCGCCGCTACGTGGCTCTAGTAAGATGCTCCGCATCGTCTTTGGGTCAACCCCCCCCCCCCCCCCTTAGCAAAAAGCTAGATCCGCTTGATGCGAAAAGTAAACATTTTCTGTCCTTATAAAAAAACGGACAAACGTAATATTAAAGATTAATAGTAAAAACAATATTTTTCATAACTATACTTCATCCAATTATATTGACAAATGGCAATAGACGACTTCCATGTTGAACAAGAATTGATCACTTCCATCAGTTCTTTCAAAACTATATCTAGGAGAGACTGTGGAATGTGAACATTAGGCAAATCATATCATCAATTCAGCCAGGTTATTATTATTCTGCTTTTCACTAAATTAATCAGGTACTAGTTTGCACGACAGATTGAGACACTTTTCATTTGAGATTTGTATCTCAGAGGATAATGATAATGATAACAATTAAAATAATAATAATAATAATTGTATAGTAATAATAATAATAATTGAATTTAAATAGCTCCTTTTCCAGAGTTTACAAGACGGTGTGTGCCAGCAAGGATATCCGTTGGCATCACATGATAACTTTACGGGATGAATAATGGCGGATCGAGAGTAGGGGCAAACCCCTATCTGACATATTTATACAAAATAAGAATGGGTCCGTAATTATGCAAGATACCCCCCCCCCTCCCTACCCACAACTGCACTTAAATGTCATAAGCCTTGCTTTTTCTATCCATCTCACTATGTTATATTTAGAGAAGCTAAATACAAAACTCCATAGCGCTTACAAAGAAATAAACACAAAGTAAATAGACTGATTAAATTACGAAGGAAAGACTTTTTTTTTCCTCTTCAGAGGTATTTATTCGGTTATAAAATACACTTAACAACAAAATAATTGAAACAGAAAAATACATTCACTTTACACCTCATCTTTTGAGATCTTTACAATCAGATAAAATCAAGGGCTATAATGTTGAAGGGCATTTGATATAACATCTGAGATGTTATCCAAACACAGTTCATTTTTAAAAACATGCCATATTCCAAGACTGTTGTAAGTTTTCCCTTGGAAATAGTTTAACATGTACATTTTATATATTGCCTATTGTGCATATGTAATAATTAAATTTATATCTTTAGTGTTGGAACAATTAGAATCTGCACCAACAATCAGGTATTTTTCGTTTATTATCAGTGTTTCCTTGAAGTTGTAACGAATAAATGCAACAACGCGTTTCCAAAAAGAATATTGGGGATTCTAAAAGAACATGAACAAACGATTTAGTTGTTTTGCAAAAAGCACACAAGTTCTCATTTACATAAATTATATCTGAACGGTAAAATTCGATGAAGTGTTTTAAAATTTACTTGCTTTACTTTATTGTTTTTATTGTTTTAAACTTAAATTTCAGTATCTCTTTCCAGTAAATATCAATTGGAAGGTTAAATATTTCTTCCCATTGTGTTAATACAGCTAGATTACTTTTACTGCGCTCACTCATTAAACTATAGAAATGTTTCGATTTCATTGTTGATAACCTAATAACATCACCTGTTTTAATTTCGTAAAAATCATTGTCATAATGCTGTATAGTACCTCTATTGTCATCAACGCTGGTTGACTTTATGAATTCGTTTTATCCAAACTTTAGGGATCGTCTTTTTGAGCTTCGTATACATAAAGTCAACCAATAAAGAATTCGAACCAAGCACATTACAAATATGATCTTGTGTCTTAAAATGTCGATTTTCTGCAATATCATCAACTAGTACAATACTGTACCATTTGTAAACCATTCTTTAAAAAATAAGGTTCTACTATCAAATATTATGTCACTGTTGTACCATAACACCTCATTTCTAACATTTGCGCCACGCAAAAAGTCAATGTATTTAAGTTCACTCCAGCATTTCAGATTCTAATACATGTATGGCATGCCAGTTACATTTTATTGGAATATTGCATACAAATATACGGAGTACGGAATACTTGCATTTCATTTAACTGATTGTAAATTATTTAAAAGGTGTTCATCCTAATGTATGGCTAAATTAGACTGGTCTTCGTTTCATTGAATCTATAAACTGTACTTGCCTTTAACATATTTCTATTGGGAAATTATGAATGATAAACATGTACAAAATTGTATTGCATGAAAGCAAAAAAAATATTATTTCTTATAACTTTGACTATCATGCAACTTATACTGGCAATTGCAAAGCTTTCTCGCATTTGTTCCGCTCATGTCTTCTTAAAATCCTTGTTTATATTCTACAATACACATTAGGCTAGCATAATCCATTTTCATGATTTTTGTCGCTTTTCTTCATGAAACTTAAGAACGCAATTCAATATTTACCAACAATCGAACATTTGCTAGTGCACTTCAATTTCCTCTTTTTGTATGTACATGATCACGTCCAGAGTTGTAACACGAGCCCCACCCTGGCTGAGCTTACAGTGGATGATGGCACACTAGATGGATGGCAGGATTGTGGTTCGATGTTTGACAGTGTGAAGAGGGTCACTATACAGGTACGGAGGACGATCAACTCTGACGTCATCCAGAGGATCCATCTACCAGGAGCAAGAGAACTTACCATTCAAACAACTGAGTATGCAGGTCGACCGGCTGTTTTCCACGAGGAGCCCACTTCACTACTTAATGCCCTCCTGAATATCTCCCCTCAGCTTCTCAAGGTGACATTCAGCGATCTCGACATTCGTAACAGTAAGATGGAACTAATCTTACAAGCTTTCAACCTCAAACATCTGAAGTTTATCAGGTGAGACATTTTGTCATTTGTTAAAAGAGCACTTTGATATGTTTCATTTCTTTTACTCCTCCTCTATCTCTCTCTTTCTCTCTCTCTCTCTCTCTCTCTCTCGTTTTCTCTCTCTTTCTCTCTCTCTTTCGTTCTTTCTCTCTCATTATATCTCTTTCTCTCTCTCTCTCCCTCTCTCCCTCATCTCTCTCTCTCTCTCATTCCATCTCTCTCTCTCTCTTTCTCTCTCTCGTTCTCTCTCCAATTCTTATTCCTATCCGTAATACACACATCCCCCCCAAAAGTGTACACTATTTATATTAAATGATTTAAAGGCCCACTGCACTACCTGTAGCTACTTGCGCCCTCTATATAACAAACAATGCCTAATCGGTGACCAATGGTCCCCCATGATCCTCTTTTTCTTATGTTAACTGAGAGCTGAGTTGATGAGATAACCACCTGTCCAGCGACCTTGCAGGGCAGTCTAATCCCTCCTGTAAACTATGGCAGATAAGCTTTAAAGGGAAAGTCCACCCCCAAAATAAGTTTGTTTCGATAGAGGCAGAATAATAAGAAAATCAGGTGAGTGAAAGTTTGAGCAAATTCTGAATGAAAATAAGAAAGTTATGAATTATTGAAGTTGTGATCAATCAAATACAAATTGGCAACTCTGTGACTTATTATACGAGCTCTCCTTCATTTGCTTTGTGCATAATATTCCATAAAATCATGTTTTCTTCGTTATTGATGACGGAATATATATTTGTTCCTTGCAGGGGGAGTATAGAAACATATTTGCAATTATTATATTTAGGGTGCATGTATGGTTGAAATTTTTCTTGAGGGAAAATGAAAATTTTAGATTTTTTTAGTACTGAGCAAATGGAAGTTGAGCTCGCATGATACGTCATAGAGTTGCCAATTTGTGTTTGATTGATTACAACTTCAAAAATCCTAACTTCCTTATTTTTAATCGGAATTTGCTCAAACTTTCACTGACTTGTTTCTCTCATTTTTCTACTCCTATTAAAACTAACTTAATTTCAGGGTGGACTTCACCTTTAATAGTACTTATCTTTCACATCTCAAAATGAACATAAATTATTACTTTTTAAGTTGATTTGCAATCGGTTTCATACCATTCGTCCATGAGCAGTGGCGGATCCAGGGGGGGGGGGGGCAGAGGCCCGGGCCCCCCTTGAAAAAAAAATGTGAAAAAACACGTTAATTTTGCCCTTTTTGGGAAACGCTCAAGGGGGGGGGGGATGCGATTTTTCAAATTTGTGAGGGCCCCTAAAAAAAAAAAAAAGTGCTCACTACCCCCCCCCCCCCCCCCCCCCCCCACTGAGCGAAATACCGGCCGGCACTAAATTTTAAATTGATTTCAAATTTGGGCCCCCCCCCCCCCCTCAGAGTTCCTGGATCCGCGCCTGCCCATGAGTGAGATTAGTCATTTAACAATAGTCTATCATGAAAGAAAATCATAAATTTGGGGCATTTGGCCTTTCAAATTTTTGATGAGCATTTCCAAAAAACAATAACAAAAATCATGAGGAGCACGAAAGGAGAAATGCTGTATTGCGTCTATTTTGATACTGGTAGATTCATACGATGCGGGTCAGATGAGGCCGTGGATGATGTCATAATTGCTTGCAATAAAGACAAGGTCATGGAGGTGGAGGTGGAGCATGGCAAACCACGTGGGTAAGTCCTTAAAACTCTTACTTCCAGGCTTGCAGCGCTCTTTAAGGTACTATATGTCTCATTTGCAGTTCAAACAAATGAAAAGGTTGAAATAAATACTTATTACGAACTTCCCTCAAAAAAGTAAACGTTTGAAAATGGCTTTTCAGGGGACAATAACGACCATTAGTTGTCGAATCGACATAAGTGATTGCAATCACCTAAGTAATAGTCTGATTTTCAGACCCTGGTTGTAGAAGTATCCTTTCACATTAACAAAACGCTATAATAGACATACGGTGTTAGTTACTATGTTTAATTGTTTATCTCTGTTTTCATCGAGAATGAAAAGAACTGTCATTATGTACCACTCATATACAAATGACCTCAGAGAGAGCCCTCTCTATTCAGACTCAATTGTTTTAAATAACCTACCGGCAAACATCCGATTAGAAAGTAGCCTGGCAATATTCGCAGGTCTTAGATCCCTTACACCCCTCCATTGTTTCTGTTATCCGAGCAATTTTTAATTAATCTTGTTTGTTTTCATCTTATTATGTTGTTATGATAATTTTTGTGATTTCTTTTGTATATAATTGTTATATTCGTTTACTTGTTCTGTTCAATTGTTGTTCACGGCCTTGCTGAAAAGCAGCTTCTAGCTGATATCACCGTGATTAAATAAATAGAATACCAAAAAAATACAAAAAATAGTCTCATATCAATTAATCTGTGCAAAATGTAACAAAGAGTTGACAAATGGGGTGCATGTAAATTAATATTCCTTTTGAAATGTGTAATCATGAATGTTCAAGGGTGCCTATTGCATAATAGGCTTAGGTTACGGGATTAGCGAAGTGATAAACTGAAGTTATTTATACTATTTTTCATATTACATGTTGGCTTATTTCGTTACATTATTCGCGCATGTTTTCTACGTATTAATTAACTGAATAACATATATTGCCCATTTACATGTTGTAAAAGAAAAGAAGTTCAATTTAATTCAAATTAAAATAGTAAAGATGGTTCTTTTTGACGTAAAGCTGTGTGATATTCAATCTCTCTTCTTTGCCCTCCTTTTATTATTGTTATTATTATTTAATGTAGTGCTGTTTGTATGTTGAAGCACACTTTTACACTTCTCTCTCTCTCTCTCTCTCTCCATCACTATATAGTGATAATTTCATTGAGTAATCATAGAGATGGCACCACACTCGATCAGACGGAGCAGACGGAGCAGACAATCTTTGCACGCGAACAGGAAATATGGACAGAAATGAAAAGTGCCTCAAACACATCATCAACATTTTTCTTTGGCAATTGTCATGCAATCGATTTATTAATGCACTGAATCCCGTTGACATTCATATGATTTAGACTGATGTGCAATATATGCTTTACATCGGTATTGCAGCTCTTGTGATTGTGATTTTGAATTCCCTTCATAATGTTACTCTCAGTGTTCTTGCATATAATATACTTTAAAGGGTGTTACGTGGATTTACACGGTGAAAATCTCAAACCTTGTAAAAGAGCCGAAATGTTGTAAAATATCATGATTGAAATTGTTAAAATTATGATGGAAAAATATTCATTATTAGAAAAATAAATAAGTAATAATTATTTTTGAATTTGAATTGTGCAACTTGCAGTGCTTTACTCACCACATTTGCTATGTAGAGAATGTACACGATGTGGAATTTGCCTAGAGTATGCTTGCGTCAGCGACTGGCGGAGGCATTGACGCACCATAAGAGAGTATATATATCGCACCGACAAGTGAGTGCAAATCAAACAGTGCAAACCTCTCTTCGAATTAAGGGTGTTATAGTCTGAATCACCTAGCTCGGTTAAAGCAATGAAATAAAGCAATCTAAACACAACCTCGTGTGCAACAGGCATTGTCAAAATGATGTCTGTGCTATTAGAATCAATTGTCTTTCATGATTTATTTATTACGTTTTATGTAAAAAACAGTTATGCCTTCTCAGAACCAAAAGGGATGCTTTAAATGAAAGACTATAAACACGGCAAACATGAACAAGTGAGATTAATTTGTTGAAATAAAATAAAATGTATAAATACAGAATATGCAAACGGTAATGCAAAAATCAAAAATCAAATGAATATATACAAAGAACAACAAATATAAACGAACGAACTATATAAACGAACCAACAAAAAGTCAAAACAAAAATGATGACCGTTTCTATTTTACCCTTTTCTGACCCACGTAATCATAATCTATTAATACCCCATCATCTATTAAAAACACACTATTGGACAAGGTCATGAAATTTGCTAACTTGCAGGCCTATTGTCTTTGTGTATGATAATTGAAACCAAAATTATAGATTGATTTTCTCCAAATCCATTGTAAATTGATTTTATTATTGATATGTTTATATTGACGATAATTTCAGCACCAGGCCTATTGTGATTTCCTACAAGTGGAAGAGTTTTAGGGTAAACCTTTTGAAGTTGTATTCACAGATAGGAAATGAAGGAATGTATCTAGTCATATATTAAGGCCTATATAGACCTTCCAAAAAAGGCCAAATGAAGACCACTTTTAATTCACAAATAAATTACTGTATAGTTGTTTTATCCAATATATCTTGTGTATGAACTGTTGCATGTATCACATTAAAGGTTTCTTATGATTTATGATTTTCATTTTGAAAGGGAAAACAATCTTGTCTGATATATTTGAGTTGGTAATTTTGTCAGTTGATAATTTGTAAATAACGTAGCCAAATTGTATGTGCCCTTAATACAAAGGATTGTCTTAGCAAAGCAAGTTATACATTACTGACTAACTATAAATTAAGGCTGTATAAATGCATAATAATTTTAAATATCCAATCAGCTGTTTTCCTACAAGTTCAACTAGTGATTGTACACTATAATAATGCAAGAACATTATTAAGAGTAAATCATGTACCGTAAAGCTTCATATTTTTAATATATTTATGTATTTATTATGTTTATTGAATAGCGCACTGAGACATTACCGCATTTTGCGAAAATAGTCTAAACGCACAATTTATCTCTAGTAATAGTAGTAGTAGTTGATTTTGTTGTTATTGATGTGATCTTGTATGTTGTTGTGGCGGAATTATTATAAGTATTTGTATTAACATAATATTAACATAATATTAACATGATATTAACATGATATTAACATGATATTATATATCAATGTCAATTATTCCATTCGGTATCAGCGAAATATTGTTAAAACGCCAAAAATTGTTTACTGAAACTGATTATTTTGTATATTGTATTGATTAGATTGTAAAGAGTGACGTACGTCGTTATTTTACAATGTAGGTCTATTTCGTTGCACACATGACTACCTACCTATATATAGTATAAACCATTATCTTGGATTTAGCAGTGATGAATTACATTCATTCTCATTTGTGTATTGTAATATAAAGTGACGAGAATGTTTACATGACAATTTGAATGTGGTTATAATGTAGGCTGTATTAAATAAATGTAAATAATATAATGTGCCTTAAATTTGTCGACTTTTATCTTTGTACATGTATCTATCTTTTCGTTTATTGCGTATGTTCCGATGTATATGTAGTTTGGTGTATTTTAATGAGCATGGCTATATTTTTTGTTGTAATTAGTTTTCGGAATACAATTATCTTGCATTACCATGTACAGCGCAAAGGGATTTAACCGGCAGTATAATGCGCTGTATAAATATTTCCTTATTGATATGTTGTTTAATGAAACCTCTACTGATCCGAGAATTATATTTTTTGAACTTTGTATTAGTCAGACGTTTGTCCACATTATTGAAATAAAATTAATTATACAACTGTTTAATTCAATAAATGTTACTCCAGTCTCTAATTCAGGTGTATAGGCCTATAACCCCCTTCTCTATAGCTGTCTCTGTTTCTCTCTTCTCATTGTCGAGTTTTATCAATCAGTTTTCAATGGATCAGTGAAATTAACGTTCTTTTTTTAATTTACGGAATTTCCTTTGCTTCTTTTCCATCATCATCATAGAGGCGTCGTAGTCGAGTGGTTTCATCACTTGACATGAAATGTAAACATCTTGTGTTCGAGGCCCTGCACGACACTCATATCAATGAGCAAGGCATTTAATCTACATTACTCCTCCCCACCCAGGTGTTTTAAGATAGGTACCCGGTGAAGATGTAATAGTTAATGTGATTGGAATAGCATATATTATGTGCATTCACGTGGACAGTCGTCGTATATGCTATGGAAGCTCGTGGGATATACCCGTGTATCCCATTGACTGTAGGCCCCATTATTATTTATTATCCCCATCGATCTTAAATCGATTGTTATGGTATAGGCCTATATGTAACCTCTACAAGTTTTGTTTGCATTTCTGTTTTTTTAATATTTTAAAACAATTTTGCTCACTACTCTGTTGTTTGTTGTTACTGGATTTCTTTTCTTTATAAAGTAGACTATTAAACTTGAATGTTGTTGGATGCGATCAGGTAAACGACTCAAATCTGCAAAGTGTAGATCATACCGCTATCTGAAATCCTTCATTCCCTTTTCCATAAAGGGCCTTTAACAGCTCACATTGAATAACGATAATATTTGTATAAACATGTACAATTGCAATATTAAATTGCCCGTATGAATTTAGTTCATATTTATATAAGTCTTGTACGTACAACTGACATTGTAATATAATGCGAAAATTGATATTCCATCTTCTATTGCAGTTTAGCTTTTGTTTGAATGGAATATACGAAGATCAACCATTTCGAAAAAAAATCACATACCCTGTCTACATAATTATATTATTAAAAAAAAAAAAACTTTTCATGAAGTTACTATGTCAGCACTTACTATGTCAGTTTCACCTTCCTTTCCTTCTAATTTCCCGGTTCTTTCTTATTACATTATCTTTTTCTTAATTGTCTTCTGTGGCACTTCCATGTCAATATATACGAATGTGTTAAGTAATTTCATAATGGGAGTTCATTATCCTTTTGTGTATTACCTTTATCA